GCCAGAAAATAGACCACAATCTGAACTGGAAGATACCTTAAAAGTTAGTACTCTTATTCTCTATTTTATTTTAATTTATATATATAAACATGTCTTTTTCTGTAAGAAAAGAAAAAACTGATTTCGATTATCCAGTTGAATAACTCATATAAGGTTACATTATCAAAACATTTTTAAGTTGTAAACTTGGACTTAAGCACGTCGATCGATTGTTTATCATCAGCCGTCATAAACGCTATCATCACCGCAATTGAAATTACGTCGGAAAATTGATGTTTTTATATGATGCATCAATGTAGCTAAATCTGTTTTGGAACTTGAAAGTTGCCACTTTGTACAACTGATCTCCTTCTTCACCATTAATTAATCTAAGATTTACTAAGCTTATATTCACACACACACAAAAAAAAAAAAAAAACACACGTGTATGAATGAATATTCATGTATCTAGCCGTGGTCATACAAAGATGTCAAAAAGAAGATATTATTACCAAAAAAATAATCTATTGTCAATAAACATGCAATATTAGAAATTGAATATTGGTAGTGACATAAACGATAGACACTACTAATACAAACCATCAAACGTAAAATCGGGATCATTGAAAAAACAAAACATTATATTCTTCATTTTTTAATACTTGAATTATACATGTTTTTAGTTCTTGAGTTACGTTCACTAGTTATTTCTGACGACAAACAAATTCAACGGTTTCGAAAATTCGGAGGAGAAATCTAAGATGAAGTTTCATACATTGATACAAATAAATATATGTAAGTTTTAAAATTTTGTTTGTCAGATAATATTAAGTTTTTCCAAAACACAATTTTGTAGCTGAAGAGAAAGTTTTTGGCTGTCGGTAGTACGGCCATTTAAAAAATCAACTCCAAAATTCACCATTCGAGTACTGACACGTGGCAGTAGGACCACCAGAAGTGTGTCCCCACCTCTCCCTATATATCAGATGGCCATTGCCACCTATGATCGTCGGCTCCGGTGATTCTTGCTCTCTCTTCCGTCGCACTTGTTTGTTTCTCTGTACCACTCCAACTTCTTAGTTCTTGCATGTCAATTCTTTTTTTCTTCTCTTTTCATAACATGTATATTGCGTGTTAATTCTTACTTTCTTTGTCTGATTTTGTGTTTGTAAGATGTTAAAGAGATTATAACTTCTAATTTCGATGTCAAATCAATATATGTATTTTAAAAGAATTGTTCTTCTTTTTTTTACCTGTGGATCTATATTAGATTTACGATGCATTTTAATCAGTGGAGTTTAATGAAAGAATTAGATTCTTAATAGTTTGTTGGTACATATGCAATTTCAGATTTTCTTTGTCATAAAAAGAAAATTTCATTTCTTTTTGCTTGTTTTGTGCATTGTGATGTTTCAGCTGCTAATAAGTAGCCAAAAAATTTAAAGACTTTGAAATTCTTCTCTTTATAGTTTGTGTCCCAAAAAAGACTGAACCATCAAATTTTTTTACAAGAATTGAAGTCATTTATATGTGTTATACATAATATATAGCTTCCTTTTTGTGTGGTTAGGTCATAAAAAGACCTCAGAGCAAAGGCTAACATTCGGAACAGAGCAACGTGTTTTAGAATCTCCGATCCGAGTGATTTGAGATATGGAGGAAGAAAGGATGGAAGGCTCAAAGAGGAGATGTCAGAGGAAGAGCCTTGTGTTACAAGCAAGACTGGATCGCTGGTCTCCGTTCTGGTTTCGGGTACTCATAATAAGATTCTTATTGAGACATAAAGACAAACAGAATTGTGATTATATGTTTTTGAAGGATTTTAGCACCGACAACATATGTTTTCTTCGCCTCTGCGCTTCCTGTTATCGCCTTTGGCGAGCAACTCAGCCACGACACAGGTCTATTTGCCATCTTTTTCACGGTTTATTTGGGTCTACAAGCTGCACACGTACGTTTTGGTCCTGTTTTTAGCGTAATCTGAATTCAAATTTGGGGGAATTATAGAGAGATCGTTGAGCACAGTGGAAACGCTAACGTCAACAGCGTTATGTGGAGTGATACACTCGATATTGGGAGGAACCACTGCTGATACTTGGAGTTGCAGAACCAACTGTCTTAATGTACAAATACTTGTTCGACTTCGCTAAAGGAAAACCAGAATTGCGAAAACAGCTCTACTTAGCTAGGGTTGCTTGGTAATTACTCCAAAACTCTAAATCTTTTTGTTCTTCTATAAACGTTTTTTTTACTGTAAAGTTATGGTCTTGCTGGCTGTTAAATTGAAGGGTTTGTGTGTGGACGGCTTTGTTACTGTTCCTAATGGCGATATTCCACGTGGCTTATATCATCAACCGGTTCACGAGGATCGCTGGTGAGCTGTTTGGTATGTTGATCTCTGTTCTGTTTCTCCAACAAACCATAAAGGTATCAATACCAAAAGGCGCAGTCCACCTCTCACCTCTGATGGTTGGCAAAAGTTATTATATATATTTCAAATGAAATTGGTAGAATATGTTGAGCGAATTTAGGATTCCAAAAGGTGAAGACTCAAAACTTGAAAAGTATCAGTTTGAGTGGCTCTACACAAACGGACTTCTCGGCCTTATTTTCACCGTCGGTCTTGTCTACACCGCTTTGAAGAGCAGAAAAGCAAGGTCTTGGCGATACGGAACAGGTAAGAGAGATTTATCTTCTCATGCTTTAGTGATCATTTCACTGTAAAAACAGCTACAAGGCCTTAAAATTATGATTAAATATATGTCAAGGATGGTGCCGAAGCTTCCTTGCAGACTACGGAGTTCCATCAAAACTACCCTCTGGTGTCCCGAGAAGACTCGTTAGTCCTCTTCCATGGGACTCTGTTTCTTTAAAACATTGGACTGTCATCAAGGTTACAACACAACTACATTATAAGATTTTGGTTCATCATCCAAACCTCTTAAAGATCCGTTTTTGTTCTGTACAGGACATGTGGAAAGTCTCTCCGGGATACATATTTGCGGGCGTTTATACCCGCATTGATGATCGCAGGTCTCTACTTCTTTGACCACAGCGTTGTCTCGCAGCTCGCGCAGCAGGAGGAGTTCAACCTCAAGAACCCTTCTGCTTATCACTACGACATTCTCTTGTTAGGTTTCATGGTAATCAATCTTTCTTTCTCTGCAAGCTAACTTTGAATCTCAGGTTAAAACCTTCAAAACTGTGTGGATTTTCAGGTGTTGATCTGTGGATTGCTCGGTCTGCCGCCTTCCAACGGAGTCCTCCCGCAGTCTCCTATGCATACCAAAAGCCTTGCTGTTTTCAAACGACAGGTCTAATCAATACTTAGTTAATCAGCACTCAAATATTCAGATTAAGCTGGTCTTATGAAACTTGGTGGTTAATTTTTATTCCATTAATGAGGAAGAAGATGGTAATGACAGCCAAAGAAAGCATCAGACAGAGAGCAACGTCTTCCCAAGTGTACGAGGATATGCAACAAGTCTTCATCGAAATGGACAAAAGCCCACTTGTAAGTAGTACTGTCGTAATAGACTCATAATTCAATAATCCGGTTTTCAGGATTTTAATCTACAGGCTGAGACACACACAACACTGATAAATGAGCTGCAAGATCTGAAAGAGGCAGTGATGAAGAAGAGCGAAAACGATGGATATACCGGAGACGAGAGTGGTTTCGATCCAGAGAAGCATGTTGACGCTTACTTGCCTGTTCGAGTCAACGAGCAGAGAGTAAGCAACCTGTTGCAATCACTGCTAGTGATAGGTGCAGTGTTTGCTATACCGGCCATTAAGCTCATACCTACCTCACTTCTATGGGGATATTTCGCTTACATGGCTATCGACAGTCTCCCAGACAACCAATTCTTCGAACGCACAGTACTTCTCTTCGTCCCACCAAGCCGGAGATTTAAGTATGTGCTCTATAAATGCTCTGTTTTTAAAAAAAAAAGATTTCCTTCAAAGAGTAATCATGTGATTGTTTTGTCGTTGTTAGGGTCTTGGAGGGAGCGCATGCATCGTTCGTGGAAAAAGTTCCATATAAGTCAATGGCTGCATTCACATTGTTTCAGATACTCTACTTTGGGCTTTGTTACGGAGTGACGTGGATTCCAGTGGCCGAAATCATGTTTCCGGATCTTTTCTTCCTCCTAATAGCCATCAGGCAGTACCTTCTTCCTAAGCTGTTTAAACAAGCCCATCTCCGGGAACTCGATGCCGCGGAGTACGAGGAGATCCCTGGAACTCCTAGAAACCCGCTTGAACTGTCTTTCAGGGTGAGTCAGTGTCAATATAATATGTACATTCTTTTTATTCTTGTCATTCAACGCGTCTAGACTCTAGAGTAGATTCAAATATTGAGATTTGTGTATTTAACCATGTTTTAAAGTCGACTAACTCGGCAAGAGGCGTCCAAGAGTGTGATGCGGGGATTCTAGACGAGTTAACAACGAGCAGAGGCGAGCTTAAAGTCCGTACGCTCGGTCATAACGAAGACAAAGGCCACCAGGTTTAATTCTTTATTTTTGTTTGGTAAAGAATTTATATATAGATCGTTGAGTTAAATTTTAACTTTGTGAAAAGAATTTCATAGACTTATGTTAACCTGCAGATATACCCCAAGGAGATAGTAGAAGTAGGGGATGTGGACATGAGTACTTCCAGAGAGTGATCTCTATTAACAATAACGGTCAAGACCAATTTTGCAAGTGAAGATCATGATGGTGGTCATGTGCAAAACATAGATGATATGTGGCTTTTATTTTTTCCTAAATAAACCCAAGAAGATGTGTTTGTCAAAATATCAGTTATCTTGTATTTTTCGTTATATTAACTTTTTTTTTTTGGTTTTAAAATTTTTTCCAACTGGTTGGGATTTGAAGAGATATTGTGAATTTTTAGGATACTTTCGTTGGAATTGTTAGATTTTAATTTTAAAAAAGAAAAAATAATTTGTGATTTGGTGAGATTTTAAACAGATATTATTGAATGATTTGGTGAGATTTTCTAGAACAAAAAGGAAAAATTGGATTTCAATTAAAACGGAAGTGACGTAACTCGATCGTAGCAAAAACAAATTCCATTGATGTACCATTCCAAAGCTCAAGTCACTGAAATCACCATCAACAAGTACCAAGTGCAAAGAGCCAAACTATAACAATAAGAATTCTCTTTGCAATGTCGTTTGTGCTTTTGAAACATGTCGTTCCATTAAAAACGCTATGACGTGATGGAATTGATAAAAGATGGGAAGGCTTGCTTTGGAGAAAACATGTTGTGGTTGTGATTCTGAGATAGTTTACGCCTTTGTGTTACAACTTCAATATTGAAAACTTGGACGACGAAGACACCAAGGACGACGAAGATGATGGCGTTGGCGACGACAACAAGGACGACGAAGACGATGGCGTTGGCGATGCTACCTGCGGGCTTAAAGGTGGTGGAGTCGGAGTGATTCTTGATGTATATGAGATTAGCGGCGGTACAGATCTGATGGTCGGTAGTGAGACGATCTCTCATGTTTGAAAACCCCTGTTTAGTGATGAACACGAGAAAAGTGAAAGAGAGGATTTTTTTCTGTGATTTTTTTTTTTTTATAACAAATTGTTCCAAATACCACCTCTGAAGGTGTGATTTTTTCTATTGGGTTTAACATGTAAAAATGTATACAAAGTCTCCCAAAATCAGTGTTGTGGATTTCTTTCAAAAAAAAATTATGTTTTCAATAACAGTTGATTTGATATAAGTTTTACAAATTGTTGATTGAATAACAAGAGATTACAAGTGATTTTATAGAAATTTCAATTTCAATAACATTGGATTTGGGAAGTGATTTAAAAATCACAAGTTGAATAACAGGTCATTTAAAGAAAATCCCAAAAATTTCTAAAATCCTAATTTCAATACACCCCCTAAAACGAATTATTATGACAAAAATAGAATTTTTATTTGTATGTATACTAGATGCTTCCATAAAAAAAACCCTGATGTCTGTTATTCATTTTAGTAAACTCATTAAAAAGTTACATTTTTAGAGGAACTATAGAACATTTGTTAAGTAGTAAACTTTGACCTGAGCATGTCGATTGTTTTACTATCCGCCTTGAACGCCGCCATCAATACTGCTTCTGGAATCGCGGGTTTCGTAGCAAACAGAGTGTGAGGCACACCAACCTCGCTAGGCAAGTCGTCAGCAACAACCGTCAAAAGACGGCATTGCGTTTTCCCAACGTTCCCCTCGTAATGAATGAGTCCCGGAGGAATCACAAACATATCACCAGGTCCAATAACCTTCGAGTACAACGTGTTGTTAGTCGTCAAGAACCCAACCAAGACCCAACCTTCGATCACGACCCCTGCCTCGGTCGCACCGGGGTGAGAGTGAGGTTGGTTGTATCCTCCAGGTGCAATTGCAACGTTGTACATGGATATTCCCAAAGTGTTTAGGCCCGGGAAGGTCAAGAGATTGGCTGGATTAGCGGCAATACCTTTTGGGTTCGACGTGTTTAAAGGAGTGTTCAAGCCGGAATAAAAAAAGTCTTCAGAGGTGACTTGTGACTTGCAGGGGAAGCCACTGTTGGTTGGTGTAGCTTGGAGATCAGCTACACAAAATTCTTGTAAAGGGTTAAGTTTTAGGGCTGGGAGTGCGAGAGTAGGGTTCGTGAAGAGAGTGATGCATAATGCAAGGAAGATTAAAACTCTTGAGAGAAAAGAAGAGATTTGTGAAATATGAGCCATTGCTAGTGAGTGAGATGATGATGGTTGATGATGATAAATGACGATGTTAATTGGTAGATTATATAGCATTAGAGATTAGGCTTTTTTGGATCGACCTTATAGCTTCATTAGACTAGAATAAGATGGGATTAAGGAAAACACAAGAAAAGATTAAATCTTTATGAGTGTTGGGTTTAAATTTATGCAATTCTTTAATGGCTTTAAAGCAAAGCATATATGGCTATGGCAAAATAAACTAGGTTCAAAATAAACCCTAGCTCACGGAGACCTATTCAAGTGGCTAGAGCTATGATATATGGCTGAAACAAGTTAGGTACAATTAGCTCTCACTCTTTGATTATTAAAAATGTGAATGTCTCCATTTATAAGTTGAAATATTTTATTGTATTTCTCTATAAATAAAATATATAGTATTTTAGTTTAAAATTTTGAATTATAAACGAAAATGATATAATTTCTTTATGTTTGCATTTTGCATTAGCATTTACAATTTGTAAAAAAAGTGCTAAACCTTTAATCCTAAACGAAATAATTTGTTTGTGTTCTGTGTTAAAAGTGTTAAGATTAATATACACTCGAACAAAAATTTTATGAAAAAATGAAAATGTTATACCTATTTCAAATGTGAAAATATGCTAGAATATAAAAATCACATCTAAATACAAACTCAAAATGTTATGCCTATAGAATTGTGAAAACATTTTAGAAAAAAAATCACATCTAAATACAAATGCAAAACTAAAACTTTTCTTTTTGGGTATGAAATGCAAAACTGAAACTTACAGGTTAGGTTCATGGAGCAAACTGAAACTTTTTTAGTGTGAAAGAATGATAGAAATGTTTTCAAGTTGAGACAAGGTGTGGAAGCTTGCTTGTTCTCTAAGAAAGGGAAAAAAAAGATGTATTACAAGTTCATGGATTCTGAAGGCATAGCAACAAAACTACGAAGCATGTGCAAATTCTGAGAGATCTGCAGTAGAATTGCTTCTCCTTCACTAACATCCAAAACATCAGCAATATGTTTCAACAGATCACCATTTGATTGAAGAGCACTTAGTCTCTCTGTGATATCTGAAAGCTCTTTTACTATCCCTTCTTTGCTCTCTGTCCCTGCCCAATTTCATAACAAAAACACAAGATATGAAAGAGTTTTAAAGATCATATTAAACAACACAGAATGATAAAACCTCGAGTAAAAATCATACCTTTTTCTTCATCTGCAGAGACATCCTTTTCCGCGGTAGACTCCTCTGACCTTTTAGATTGAGTAGACCCATTTCGATCGATGTTTTCGCCATTCTCCTCCTGATTAGAAGAACAGACGCCTAAATCCGAGACTGGTTTGGTTTCTTGGCAATCATCATTTGCACTAGCATTGCCGTTTTGTTCATGAAACTCTTCTCTTGCATCTTCTTCATCTGTCAAACTTCCATATTTCTCTCTGTAAGCCTCAAACTCAGCTTCAAGCTCCTTCATTTCCTCCTCCCTCTTCGCCAATTCGGTACTCATCGACTGCAAAGCTTCTTGGTCATACTCTGCTTGTTCATCCATCATTCTTTGGTACTGCAAAGCCTCCATTTGAACAGCAGCTTTCTCGGCTTGAAGCCTCGTGATCATAGCCATCGCTTCGTTGGCTGCAACAGCTGAAGCACTTCTCTCTTCATCTAACTCCATATACAAATCAATGAGTGACTTCTTGTCCAAGCGAACCTCTTTCTTGAGCTGATTAAGGATGGATTCACCGTTTGGATCTGCCGTGTCCGAAGCATTCTCTGTCTTATCCAAAAGAGATTTCTTAAGAGATCGAACGGACCATCGTGGACTATTTTGCACCGAATCAGACAGAGGGATCCCAAAAAACTTGTTACCTCCTCTAACAAAGCTCGGTGTTCTGTCCACATCTAGATCCTTAAACTCAGATTCTCTTTCAGACAGTTTGTTGTTCGAAACCCTAGGAGAAGGAGCAGGAGCAAGGAAAGAATTGTTGTTATTCGGCAACTTCTCAGATTTTATCTTCAATAATTCTCCGCAACACGAACAATGTTGCTTCAAGCTATCATTTTTAATGTTGTTCTTGTGATCCACCAGATTTTTTGTTGTCTGAATAAAATTGTCGTCTTTCTTGAATGCCAAGGGAAGTTCTCGTTCATCGTCAATGAGAAGCTCGAGATCTTTGTGTAAGATGCCAATGAGAGACTTATAAGTATCACAGTCAGATTCTTTCTCGGTGGCGAAAGAGAGAAGACATCCTTCACACATATGTTTGATCTCAGATAGCTTCTTATGGACATGGCAATAAGCAAGAGAAGATACTTTCTTCTTGTGAGAGTCGCAGATTGACTCATTGTAATAGAATCGAGGGTCTCTAGGGACGAGAATGTGGTCGATTCTGGTGCAGAGAAGACAAGGAATGTTGAGGTCGAAGAATTTGGCATATTGGTTTGATAGAAAGGCGATTATGCCGTCGATGAAGAGGATAACGATGAGGCTCCATTCAAGAACCGTGTAGATGAGGAAATGAGGACGAGATCCGAGTTCTTGTTCCACAAATTTCTTGAAAGAACGTTTAGACATTGTGGCTTGTAAAAGCAGTAACAAGAACAAGAAAAAACAGAGCAATTGTATAAACATATGAAATCAAATTGGTCAAAGATCATCAAAGAACAGAGAGCATGATCTATCTCTCTCACTCTTTTGTGATTTGTGTTTCTATTTCTGGGTTTGGAGAGTCTAAAACAGATTAGATTGGGCTGGAATTTGAGGAGATAAATGTACCCAAAAACAAAGGATAATCGCAGATTAAAATTGATAAATTTAGAGACAATGTCAGAGACAGAGAGATACAAAAACGAAAACAAATGGGATTCGTGTAATTATTTTCCCGCTTAGACGTGAGGAGAACTTTGTCGTTGACGCTGAAACTGAATACAACCATACACGACAGAAACAGAGGACATGCCAACGCCCACATGACATATACATATACATCATCATAAATATATAAATGATGCTCTTTGATTGGTTGATTAAATGAATGGGGATCATGTTCTGTGATTGGAAGATTATTGCTTACGCAACAGGTAATGTACCTAATCATCCCACACTACAAATATTAAAAGCATCTGGATATTGATGGGAAAAGAAAAAGCTCCACTATATTGGAAGTGACCAATAAAATGTGACAGTATTGGCATCATTAAAGATAATGACATTATTCTACAAACATACAATATCTTATCCTTAGGAATCAGATATATTATAAAACCCCATAAATCATCAAACATGATTGAGATAGCCACATGAGAAGCAAGTACGATTCTGTTTATGATTGAGATCATGAATAAAACATAACGTTAACATGATATATATAAGTTTTGATAGATCCACACAAATGAACTTAGAGAGTATTACAACAACCCGCCAAACATGGAAGGAAAAAACAGGATGATCATGAACCCTAAAAACCCACTTAGTTCTATCTCCAAACTCTGTTTCTTATTCTTTTTTTTAGCCAAATACATGAGTTTGACGAATTTTTATAACAAAGTCAAGACCTATCTGTACAACAAAGAAACAAACAGGGTGTGTTGCAGATTTTCACCTTTCGGATATGCTCTAAGCGACTCCAATCGTGTTGAATGCTGAATGCATTGAAGGAGATGGTTCATTAAGATTAGATGAAGCTAGCGACAGGTTGAGAGAGAGCGGTGCAGGACTTGACTGAAAGGTTAATGGAACCAACTTGATGAGATTCGAGGAAGTCAGCTGTCCGTATGATTGATTCCCTGTAGGTACCGGGAACTCGGGAAAGACTTGCATAACCGGATGTATAGAGAAGTTGTTGATTTCAGGTACAGGAGAAGATAATTGTGATGTGTTCTCCTGCATAAGTACCTGATCATCTTCCATGGGCATGACCTGATAAACAAACCAAGCAAGATCAGTTTGTTATACTCAATGTTTCATTATCCAACAATCACCAAAGGCCAGACTGCTATTACTTATTCTGAACAACTAAACCTAACCACTTAAATTACTAGAATCACAGAGGATTGGAGATTTACCGTATCAGTAGTCATGTCAAAAAGGCTAGATCTTCGGCGGCGACGGTTAAGATTGCTTCGCCGGATGAAGTATTTCTGAGCATGACTAGCAACTTGTGTAGAAGTCCTGCTCTTGACAAAGTTTCTGGATATTCCTTTCCAATCTCCTTTACCTACTCTCTGCAGCCCAAGCAAGAACAGCTTGTGTTCTTCTTCAGTCCATGGAACTCCTGAAAAAAAAAATGAAAAACCAATGACTTGGCCATCTTTCTAAATCCAAAATCAACATATAGTTCTGTTCACAGTCCATTTCATAAACCATATCTTCAAAAACCCTACTAACAAATCCCTAACTAAACTTGGAAAGATTAAAGTGATCAAATTTATTGAAAGATCAAAAAACAGTTTCAATCGAAGAGTACCTCGTTTTCTCTCGCGGTTCACGTTAGAAGAAGAAATCGGAAGAGCTTCATCCGCCGAGGCGTAACCGGCGGGGGTTTTGTTCATATCTTGTCCATCTCTATCCTCGCCGTCGATCTTTGGAGTCTCCGCCGTCTGCTCATACTCGGACAAATTGTTCAAACTCACGCACTTTCTCATCGGGTCAAGCACAACCCTGACGCCGAACAGCATAATCTCTCTTCTCGTGCCGCCTCCGGAGCAGGCGTTGGTGGACTCCGACGAACTAGTACTACCGTCGGCCATAATAATATTTCCGATTTTGCCCTTTGCGCTTTCTTCTAATGAAAGCAAAAGTACAGAGCAAATGGGCAATGGAGTGGTGTGAGTTAGATCTGAGCTTCTTTGGGGACTTTTTATAAGCCAAAAGCCACGTGAGTTCTTTCTTAAACTATTCCATGTTGTAGTTGTTGCTGATGACACGTGTCTTTTTTGTATTCGTCTGTTCTTGTCTCTTTTTCTTACCTTCCTGTCTCTCTACACAGTTTTCCATTTGGATAGACTTTTTTATTTCTTTGGCTGACTAGATTTATTAGGTCTCTCTATATATTTTTTTTTGTTAGCTTTAGTTAATTGATCTTATAGGATGACAAAGTAGAGTTAAATAAATGTTATCCTAAAAGAAGTTAAAAGTATTTTGCTAATCTCGACAAAAATTGTAAGTATAAAGAGGAAAGATTTTTATTTTTCTTAACGTTACCCTCATGTATTTTTTTTTTTTTAATTAATATAAATATTATTAAGCCATTACAGAAGCCATGACAAAAAGTCACACGTTGATTTTATGCAAGATACAAACCCTCCTGTATTTTTACTACAAAAAAAAATAATGTAGTATTAAACGAATCTGGTCAACGAAATGTCCCTAACCCTAAAGCGCATGAAACTTGATCTTAGAAAAATAGTCAGCTTCTGAAATGATTCTGTACTCTGCTCTAATAATTATATAGTTACAGCTAGCTCTATCCTTGTACTTTTTTAAAATAAAAAATAACTATATCTTGTCGATCTATGAGTACATTATTAAAAAAATCATGGAGACAGCCAGACAGGTGAATCCTTTTTGGAAATTATAACTTTGAACTTCAACACAAAAACTTACAATATCAGGAACCCAAATTTATATAAATTAGTAATTTATCAACAAAAAAAATGTTAGTGTAGTCCAATTTATCGTTTGAGGTAAGATTAAATTTGAAGACGCTGTTAGGACCTAATTCGAGTATAAACAGCATGATCATATGTCCAGAGTCCAGAGACTTGACACAAGCAATCAAAAAGGTAATAGTTTTACTAGAGAATGATAGGATGTGATTTGAATATAAGCAAAATGATCACATATACTAATAGAGTATTATTTATCTATTTTAGATTTGTAGGGGAAAAAATCCTAAAAAAGTATACACAAAATTTAGTAAATAGTTTTGGAAGACAGCAAAATCACACAAAGGCACTAGCATCGGTTAGAAAGCAAAGCCACCATTACTTTTATGCGCACACAAAAAGTGGAATCTTAAAGTGTAATGTGTGAAGCACTATAGAAAGATCCTTTCTTTCTCCTTTGTTTTTCTTATTTTTTTACCATTTTGGATGAGAAACTTGTTGTGACTTTCCTAAATCAGAAATCAAACACATATCTGAGGAAGAAGAGAGAGAGAAAAATATATTCTGGGTGGAGTTTTTGCGTTCTAAAAGTCAAAATCCATATAACTGGGTCATTTGCTATGTAATAAGTTAGATTTCGAAATAGAGAGAGTTCAGCAGATGAGGTCACAAGCAAAAACTAGAGCTTCACTGAGGAATCTTGATTAGTAGATCCTTTATATGTAACTAGAGCTTTGATCTTACACTAGCATTTAACTTCATAGTAATCAGAAAGACAGTTGAATGAAAACAAAAAAAAAAAAACCTATGGCTGCAAAATCATGGGTCTAACATTTCCATCAAAATACTTAGTTGGCTACTTGACATTTTCTTATGACGCTTCTGCATATAAACTAAGATCACCATTTATCTTCTTCTCCAGCTTCTTCTGTCTAACAGAGGTTGACACTACTGCTTGACACCATAACACAGTTATCATGGACATGGAGTGCTAGTGAATAAGTGATACAACCATAAGCGCACAGTTTTTCACCAACCAGTCTATATGGAGGAAGACAGAAGAGGCCTCTTTGATTGCTGGACTTGGCAACAGAAATTAAGCGTACCGATTAAGCTGTGCTCCCTGCTAGTTCTTTTTTCACCCTGGTTCTTCGTTGTGTAGGGTTACCGCTGTGGTTCGTGTCATTGCTTGTTGAAGCTCTTGTTCCACCAGCTAATATTGGCGAGTTTGCTAAAGCGACTAGGTTTTTATTTTGGGACTCTTCTAAGGTTGGTTCTTTCGTTGACAGCAACTGCTTGAGCTGAGATCGCTGGCACATAATGCGACCTCCATTCCATCCCGTGAAGGAAAATGATGACGAGACATGATCCTGCAAGAAGGAGAAAGCAGCTTTCGCGATAGAAGATTCTCTTGCAGCGGAGCTTTTCTCCAATTGTCCCCGTCTGAGAGGTTAGAAAGAAAGAGTTAAAAAAGGCAAAAGACAAGATAAAAACAAAAAGCTTGGAGGCATCTTGCAATGAGGTACCCAGTATCAAAATACTTACACTGAAACAACAACAGCTAGTTGAGGAAGATCCTCTCCATTTAATAGCATATCATTCATATCATTTAGCCAAACCGATAGTGCCGTGTACATGCCACCCTCTGACATCCTGCAGAACATTGAAAACCAAGAATTATGGTACCCAACCATTTCATACAACTGAAACGAAGCCAGCGTAGGGAACTTAAGCTACCTATGTACATCAACAGACCACACAAGTTTGTTTTTCCGGAATAACTCAGGGAAAAGTCCACGTTTTGTTGCCTCATTGAGTACCCTTGCAGCTCGCTCTTTCTGGCCCAGCCACCACAAAGCATCCAGAAGTGCATTGTAAAACCTTATTCCCAAACCACATCCTTCTGAATTGAGTTTGTCCAACACATATTCCACTATCTGCCAATTTGAGTCATCATCATAATCTCCCTTGATCATTTGCCCAATAACTTGATGAATATTTGACACTCTATTTGAAAGCATCTCCTCCAGTAACTCATTGACATCGTCCCACCTGTAAACCCAAAATTTTTGAAGAGTTGCTATAAAACTAATGAAATAATGTATTAAACATTGGCTTAAGATACTACTTATCCAGAACACTCAAGTTAGCTGCAAGAAAATTAACACGGGTGCTACATTACGCTAGCATATCTCTTCCATGCCTGACAATGTAGATATACAAGGCAGCTGAAAGAGCAAAATGCTACGATGATGGAATAAATCATCATTTTGGCTAAGGCATAAGGCTTAGTAAGGTATGAGCTATATAAAAACACACAAAAGAAAACATAAGAAAACGTGTATTACTGGCGAAGGCACTAACCTCTCTGTCTTTCCATACACAGCTAGCATCATACAGTAGCACATGATACTGGGCAGTATATCAGAAGCTTTCATTTCCTCAAACTGCTCCCTGCACTCATCGACAAGTCGTGCAAAAGAATACACACTTAAAACAGCCTCAAGCGTCCTTTCATCAGGATCGCATCTTGACTTCTCCATATCTACATATGTCTTCACAGCCTCTTCAAATTTGCCTCCTTGCTTGTAGGCTTCTATTTGTGCATTGAACGTATCTCTGTTCCTGGGAATACCAGAATCCACCAACCGGGACAAAATCGCCTCAGACTCCTTGACCAGTCCTCCCCTTGCAAAAGAATATAACAGTGAGTGGTATGTTTCAATACTTGGATTGCTTCCTACTTCATGCATGGTGTTAAAAGCAACAAGTGCTTCTTCATATAAAGCAGCCTGCCCAAACGCTTCAATAACCCCAGTGTATGCCTTGGAGCTTGGCACGATATCATTAGCTGTCATATATTGTAAAATCTTCCTAGCATCTTCGTGGAGTCCTCCCTTCCCACAAGCAAATATTATACCCTCATATGTCTCCATGTCAGGTTCAATATTCTCCTCCACCATATCATGGAACAAAGTTACCACTTCCTTAAAATACCCACCTTCCCCAAAAACCTCTATCAAAATGTTGTATGTAGCAGCATCAGGATCTGTATTGCTTGATTTCATCTCAAGAAAAAGCTGCCGAACATCATCATACCTCCCACTCTGTCCAAACAAATTCAGTAAAACACTATATGTATTTGCGTTCGGCGTGCACCCTGCAGCCTGCATCTGATGGAAGACCCCCATTGCCTCCTTAATAGACCCGGATTTCGCATATGCCTCTAACAACACATTATAAGAAGTGATATCCGGTAAACTGCCCCCGGAAGCCATCTCACTCAGGAGATCAGACACTTTTTCCAGCCGGCGTAACTTCCCAAATGTCTCAACTAGATGACTATATGTGGTTAGATCCGGAACTATCCCACCATCATTCATAGTCCTAAAAACCATTTCAGCCTCATCACCTAAACCTCTAATAGCACAAGCACTAAGCAGTGTATTATATGTCACGATGTCGGGTTGTATCCCCTCATGTCTCATCTCTGCAAACAAACCCAATAAACCCTCCCAATCTAAACCACCTCTAGCACAAGCATTAATCACAGTGTTGTAAGTCAAAATACTAGGTGATATCTTATCGTTCTTCATCCTATCAAGAAGCTCAAGAGAGGTCTCATACCGTCCATTTCGACCATAAGCATTGATCAAAGCCGTGTAAGAGAAAACACTGCGTGACACACCTTGGCTAGGCATTTCGTCGAATACCTCAAGACATTTGTCTAGAAGACCTTCCCTACCAAGCAAAGAGATCATAATAGTGTAGATGTGCTCGTTTGGTTTGCACCATATCTGCCGTTGCATATACTTGAAGAGACGAAGCGACCTTTGCCAGTCGCCGCGACCAGCGAACTCTTTGAACACGAGTGCGAAATCGTTCAGCGAAAGCTTGTTCTTGAATATGTCTAAGCACCTGGCGATGCTCCCGCGTGGTGGAAGACTGCTCAGCTTGTTAATCAGCGATTCGACGTCGTAGCTGTACTTTCCTTTCTCCACGGAGACGGAAGGGTTTCCCAGAACGAGATCTTTTGTCTTCGCTTTGATTTTACCGGCGACGGAGCTTGGTTTACGGTTTCCACCTGAAAGGAAACGAAGACGGTTTCCGTCGGCGAATCTCCGGTTTCCGATGAAACTGGAATTTTGGATGAGGAAGGAGAGCTGGTGTGAGTTGGGATTTGGAATTGCTAGGTTCATTTTGGCAAACTATAGTTTCACATAAGGATTCAAAAATCCTCCGGGAAATTCCTCAGCAAGCGAAGCGAGATTTTCTCGGGAAAATCGCAATTCGATTTGAATTGACTCGGGGTTTTAAAATTAACGCCTTATTCACTAGTCACCACCAAGCTTTAGACAGAAGACGCACGAATTAAGATTAGCAGTAGAACAGTTTCGAAGAAGAGATTTTCTCACCCAAAAGCTCTCTATCTCTCTCTCTCGGTGAAATGGCGGAAAAATGGAAGAAGAAGGAGGGGCTTGAAGAAGACACGTGGATTCTTATTGTGGATAACAGTCGCGAGGAACCAACCGGTTTTTATTGGTTAACTCGATATTATTCGGTCGAACAATTTTGGCGCCGCCTAGAATTGCAAGAAAAGGAGTATTAATGTACGCCTGATAATTTTTAAGGACACTAGTAATAACAATTACATTGAAATATAGTAGTATGTTGTAAACTCAACAATGTTCTAAATGTGGGAGGTTTAAGTGTTCATGCATCTTATAGGTGATCAAAATCATTTCTTAATTTTGGTTTAATCCCATGACCATGAACTAGCTTTTTTTTTCAGCGGTCTACCAAATTTTGAACAGTAAAATTTCCGTAATATGGACTACTATGAAATATGAATAGTTGATATAAATAAAATTTAATAATCCCTAATTAGAATTAGCTACAATAGATTTTTTTGGGGTAAAAGCCACGATAAGTCTAGTGGTCTAAATGAAGCCACGATTAGAATTAGCTAAAAAATTAAAAGTCTTATGTATTTTTAAAATGTACATTAATCACCGAAAAATGTAAAAAGCAAAAGAGAGATTACGAAAAGAGTGACGGAAAAAACGGGAAGTCTGAAATGCGGAGGCTGACGTGACGTGTGGTGTGGCGTTTGAGAAATAACATCGAGTTGCTAGGGGTAAATAAGTCATTACACATCTTTCTGTTCCTAACAGACAGACGCTTCAAGGAAAACAAAAAGAACCAAAAAAAAAAAAAGAAAAGGAAACCAACCTTTTTAGCTTTTTGTTTCTTCTTGGCGAGTTCGCGACCTTGGTCGGAAAATCAACAATCGCTTCTCTGCAATCTCATTATCGGCGCTAATGGCTGACCAAGAGGTACAATTACCTTATAACCCCCTCAATCTCCGCCTCTCACGAGTTCATATTTTCGATTTCGGATTTTTTCTTCGTTTACAGTTTCGTTCTGTTTCTTCTAGACCTTGTTTCTCTTATCGGACAGAATCTTGTTGCCGCTTTTCGCTAATTTTGATCTAAATTTTGGGTTTCAAGATTGTGAGTTTTTTCTTTTCGGGGTTTGCGATGATTTTTTGTTGTTCGTTTTGTTTTGATTTTGTTTGGGTTAACACAGACCTTAGCGGCGTTGAAGAGAGCCTACGCCGATACGATACTGAACACAACGAAGGAAGCGGCGGCGCGTGTGATGGTTTCTGAAAAGAAGGCGCGTAGGTATCAGCAAGAACTTGTGACGGTTAGAGATGAAGCACTTCAGACGTTGCTTAGGCTTAAACAGATGCTTGATTCCAAGGTACAACCACTTTGTTAGATGTTTTCTTATTTTCATTTGTTTATGAGTTCTTGGTTGGTGCCTGATTATGTTTTTGGGGTCTTGAGGCATTTCTTTTGTTTCTTGCTTCATATGAAGATGGCTTTTGAAATCAAGTGTTTTAGCCTTGCTTACATAGTGAGTGTGAGTTTGGTTTATTCAATCTTTGACATTTCAATTAACTAAGTTATTCCATCATGCAGCAAATGATATGCTTGGGCACCATCTTTTTTGCTATGTGTTTTCACTACATGGAAATTGCTGATTCATCTCTATGAACGTCGATACAAGCCAATGATTTTGACACTTTCAGCCTGAGACTATTACACTGACACTTTAAGCTGATATAGCTTTTCTCTTCATCCATTGATCATTGTTCATGAAACCTAACAATGTGTAACCAAGAGCGTCAGCAAGTTCTAGATCCGTTTTACAATTTCTGGTAGTGAGGCTTAGTGGCTTACACATATTCTTCGCATATGCCTTCATTACATCGTGCAGTTTTTAAGTTAAATGTTTCTCAATGTGGGGATATAGCTATTTCATCTTAGAGACTGTATCACCTTTGCTTAAGGATAAGCTTTCTCTAAAGGGCTATATCTTTCTTTTGTGGCTGGATTTGCGTTTCCTCCTCAACTCTAATAAACCGCTTTGTGTTATATAGGTCAAAGAGACGGAGATGCAGTCCTTGAAGCAGCAACAGAAGGTTGAGGAACTTGAAGCTCAGCTTGGAGAAGCTGAAGATATTGTAGGCGAGCTGAGGATGGAGTTGAGAGTACTCCACAATGAGCTCAAGAAACTTACGAATGGTCAGACACATCTTAAAAGTGATCATGAGGAAGACCCCTGTGGGAATAACCGCGATGCTGCAGTTTCTGTAGTGCCTGAGGTTTCTTGCAGTCACGAGAGCACAGAAGCTGTAGATTTTTGCATCCCAGTGGAACAAAGTGGATCAGTGGTGGCTAATGGGATAAAAGTACCATCTTTGACTCGCATAAATAGTATTAACCGGTGTTCTTATAAAGATAACAAGGATCAGTGTCACCACACTCTTCCATCTATACTGACAAAACGCAGGGAAGCTGAAGGTTTAGCTCAGATGATCCACGCAGTAGATAGCAGTATGGCCAATGGGGTTCTGTCGTCCTCTGTAGAAGTAGGAGATGTGAATGATGGAGTATGTCTTCACAAAGTTTCGTCTTGTAAAATTGTAGAGACCTTAGAAATGTCTGGTTGTGCTGATGCTACTGACTCCATATCTACTGTTAGAGATGGAGAAGCCCCGAAAGTGTCTCCAAACTCTTCTCAGAAGGAAGTCGGCACTCTTGTATCCTTGATAACATCTCCTCCGAGGGAACATGAAAATGACGGAAAGCTGGAGATTAGCGAAACAGAGGCGAGGAAGGAAGAAAAAGAGAGCTGTGAGAATATTGAGGTTTCGGCATCTCCTTTGTGCGAAGAAACTCCAGTTTTAGCACTTAGTAAAAATCGGTGTATCAAGTACACGTTCAAGAGGAAGAGAAAGAAGGAGGTGTTAAGCAACAATCTTGAAGGAGATGCATCGTTTGAGGAGAGCAGAAACATGAAACAGAAGACCGGAGAGAAAGACGATGGTTACTTGGAGTCTCTGAAGCCTAGTTTTACCAGTGAATCATCTCGGGATGTAGTCTATGCTTAGCACAGGTGGCTTGGAAGGTTAGTAAATATCAACATACATCTAATTTGCTATATCATATTAAGTTTCTGGAACACTTGTGAGAATCTGGGTTGTATGTTTCCTTCTTGCCGTGAAAGTATTTAGTCTAAAAACTGGTATCACTAGTAGTGCCCTTTTGTTGCATTTTGGGTGTAAACTCTTGTCGATTGTGATGGGTTTATATATATATATATATGATGTCCAAGATTCTGACTTTTTCTATGTTTCTTTAGTATTTTACTGGGCACAGCTTGTACCATTCTCGTAGAAGAAAGATTTGCAGCAGAACTAATCAACCAGTAGGATCCTCCGGCAAAATGGTTATAGTAGTAAAGAATTCATCTAATATATACAAAATTTACAAATATTCAAGATACATTTGATTTTGAGTCAAATCAAAGTTATGTGATAAGGATAGGTGGAAACTTCAAAATGCTTACACCTGGATGGTGTAAGACTAAGAAGAGCGAGCTATCATTGTATTTCGTACCTATGTAAATAATCTAACGAAGAAGTCTTATTAAAGAGTTTTTGTGACTTGGTCAAAGTTTATTCATGGAAATTAGGACTTGCGACCATGGATCATGGACTAATTTGACTCAAGAGATTACGATCTCTATAAATGCGAGCTTTGTTCAATTTTATTATGTTTTAAAAGTTGAAGACCGTTTCAACATAGTTACCGGCTTTTCTTACCAAAAAAAGTTTATGACCGGCTTTAAATAGAGGGATTTCCTACTATGTAAAGAAAAGACTAAAGAAGACTAAGGAGCACTTATTTTTCAGTTATTTTGTTAAAATATAAGAAAATTTATGATCATAAATATAATATAAGGAAACATGATATATTTACTTAATAATCCATAATTAATGACAAATAATATTTTTAATGATTTAAGAAAACCATTATATATTTTGTAAATAATCCTTAATATTCAAAATCAAATTAAGAATCACAACAAACCTTCAAAATCACCTAAAATAAATTGTTGAGTTGTGTTTTAAACACAGTAGACCTTCCTAGTTTTTTAAAAAGTGATTTCAATTTAATCTTCGTTAATAGAGATTAAATCCAGTGTTTACCAAAAAAAAATATATAATCAACCGCATAAATGGGAACTAGTTCCTATATATTATTCAAAATTCATATATTTCTTCCATATTTTATTGAGAAATTGTTAAAAATGCCCCTTTTTCAATACCCCTTTTCAAAAATGCCCCCTTTGAGAGTCCATTTTTAAGTTTGCCCTCTTTTAATTTTTAATGACCATTTTACCCTTATTTGAAACAAAATTAGGTCCACAAAATACAAAATATTTTTTGGCGGAAAAAGTGATCCCGTAATTTTCCCGCCAAAACACTTGTAAAAACCTTTAAAATACCTTGTAAAATTTTTCCGTAAAAATTTTTCACGCCAAAAAATTTTCCCGCCAAAAATTTTTTTTTGCGGGAAAAGTGATTCCGCAATTTTTTTGCCGAAATTTTTTTGGCGGGAAAAATTTACAAGGTATTTTAAAGGTTTTACGGAGTATTTACAAGTGTTTTGTAAGGTTTTACAATGTATTTTAAAAGGTTTTACAAGGTACTTATAAGGTTTTATAAGGTATTTATAACTTGTAAAACCTTATAAAAAACTTGTAAAACCTTATAACTTGTAAAACCTTATAAAATAGCTTGTAAAATCTTATAATATCTTATAAATACTTTATAAATACGTTGTAAAACCTTTTAAAATACATTGTAAAACCTTATAAATACCCTGTAAAAACCCTTTAAAATACCTTGTAAATTTTTCCTGCCAAAAATTTTCCCGCCAAAAATTTAACGCCAAAAAATTTGCGGAATCACTTTTCCCGCAAAAAAAAATTTTTGGCGGGAAAATTTTTTGGCGTGAAAAAATTTTACGGGAAAATTTTACAAGGTATTTTAAAGGTTTTACAAATTTTTACAAGTGTTTTGGCGGGAAAAATTGGGGGATCACTTTTCCCGCCAAAAAATATTTTTTATTTTGTGGATCTAATTTTGTTATATTTCCTTATATATTTATGATATCTTTTATTAAAAGAAGGGTAATTTAGTCATTTTGTATATAAAAGGGGTATTTTTAAAAATGGACATCCAAAAGGGACATTTTTGAAAAAGGGTATTGAAAAAGGGGCATTTTTGTGAGTCTCCCTATTTTATTTGCTTTATTAAGAAATATATAGTTTGCTTAATTATTCAACATGCATCCCTGTTTTCCTAATCTTGTTATGAAAAAACTCAGTATACATTGCCTTGTAGTTCAAGTTTGAACAATATAGACCAAATAAAGCTAGAGAGTTCCATTAATGCGACGTCGTTTCAGCCAATCAAAAATCACCAGGGGTATAGTTTCGTAAATAAACAGTCAGACCAGGGGTATTTTCCCAAACGAGATAACCGAATTCCTTAATATATATACCGGCGTGTGAAGCTTTTGGTTCTCCGAGCGAGAGACTGAGAAATACAAGGAGCGTAGCAGAGCAGTTTCCGATTTCCATTTCTCTCTCTTAATCCGGATTTAAGTATTAGGGATTTTTCTTCTCTCTAGCGACATTACTCTCTCTGTGTCGCTGTGTGTGCGTTGCTCGAAGATTATCATCATGGTTGCTGATTCAATCACAGACTCTGAGCTCTTTCATGGCTCTCCGATTTCAAGAGATTTCGCCAAGAAACGCAAGGTGCGTTCTTCGAACTCCTTCTTGATGCGATCGATTCTTTGAGTATTTATGCTTGATTCAAAATAAAAGTATAATCGATCCGCGTCTAATCCCCAGTTTCTGTCTGTGATTTTCTCAGTAGCTAAGAGTATTATTGATTCAAAGATCGTGTTTTTCGTTGTGATGTGGATGATTTTTAGGGTTGATAATCGTCAATTATTGATATGTATGGATCGAATCTTGTTTGCAGGCGAATTGGTTTTGTAAACTAAAGCAGTGGAAGATTGATGCTCGTCGCAAGCAATGGATTTATCAATGTACGAGGCTTAGAATCTTTAAGTTTCGATGTCTTTGTTTTTTAAGTTTTGTTCAATCTTTCGAGTGTTGATGATGACTTGTTTGTGAATAATGGTATAGGGAAAAAAGCAAATCTTGGTGAAGAGGATAATGGGCGTAGACTGAAATCTTTGCTAGAGAAACTGACTGATCAAAAAGCTTGGAGGATTGATTATGATGATGCGGATGATGATCTTGAAAGGACATCATCATCTGCTAGTAGCCCCACGAGTGTTCTCAAGAGCAAAGATTCTGTTACTGGCGATTGCTTCTGTTGTTCTAAGCAGATGACTGAGGAAGATCAGGAAGAAGTTTTTGACGATGCTTATGATAACTGGGATGGGTTTAGAGATGCGTTAAACTCCTTTGACAACCAAAGCCCTCGACTTGAGACTGAAGATTTAGAGCAAGAAGAAGATCCGATTCCAGATACAAGCCAGAGGAGGAAGAAGTCTACCCATGAGAAGCTTTTTCATGAAGACAAGAAAGAAGCTTCACCTGCAAACACGACGATTCACAGAAACAGTAAAAAGAAGAAGAGGTCTAACTCTGAGAAGCAACGAGGTGATGATGATGAAGAATGTCCTATTTGCTCTGAGTTGATGGATGCAACGGATCTAGAATTCGAACCATGTCCTTGTGGGTTTCGGATTTGTCTCTTTTGCCATAAGAAGATCAGTGAAAACGAAGCACGTTGTCCAGCTTGCAGGAAGGATTATGTTCGGACGAGTAATAGTAATGGAGAGGTAGGTTTCCAGCAACGTGGTGGTGCCACAATTCGCTTGTCTCCGTCTTTTAGAGGACTTGACAGAGCTTAAGATAGAGAAAGAGTTTCATGAAACTTTTTTCTACTTTTTTGCCTTAGTTTCTCAGTTTCATCAATTTTGTGGGTTTGCTTAGATTGTTGTCATCTCGGCAATAAATTTTCATTCATGTTTGTGAATCATATAATACACATAAACCAATATTAGTCTTTTATTCGATACATCAAAAGATCATTCCTCAATATTAGCAAAGAAAAGTTTGACTTCATGATGCCACAAACAAATCTCACAAGCAGAACAAGTAATCATGTCGTTGTGCTCACCATAACGATCCCAACCACTATTCTTTACAAAGAAAATATCTGTTCGACCATCACAATTGCAATTTACACGAACATATCTTCTTTTGAGATGTCTCATCATCGGTTCGCCGCACCACCACATCTCATTTCTGATCTTTTTCCGATGTTTTTCCATCTCCTCGAGTGTACTTGACATCAAAGGTTTTCTTAAAGAAGACAAGATCTTGAAACCCTTTTGTTTTGTTTCGCCACCAAGACAAATTAGGATCAATCCATAAACATATTGTGCTTCTTGATTTCCCTTGTTTGCAACTTTTGCTATATGTTTGAGTCCTTTGTCTCGTTGGCGTTTAGAACTATTTCGATGAAAGTAATCGACAAGTCCTTTACGGTATATTGCCTCGGGGTTTCCATTCTTGCGACATCTTTTGATAAAATTGTGAAATTTTCCACGGTTGCGAAACCATGGAAAAAGAGGGATTTCATTGAGGGAAAGCCGGCGCAGAACGTATCGATCGTTGCTGATACGTTTAAAAGATTTCGAAACTAATCGAAGATTGCTAATCTCGGATAGAGATGAAGCTGCAACACATGAAGAGATTTCTACAAGAAGGTCTTCAGGTAGAGAATCTAGAGAAACAGAAACTGTCATTTGGGAATGCTAGAAAAAAGATACAATGTTTAAGATTGAAAGTATTGTCTATCTTGATTTGTTGACTCCGGTTCTTATAAAAATGTTTAGATTTCCTTTTCCTAATATGGTAAGGAAGTAGAAATACAAAAGTTAATTAAGAATAATCCAAAAAAAATTAAAAGAAAAGTTGAAAAAGACATAATGGGATTAATCCTTGTATGGAGAACAATTCTAATTCACAGTTCAACAATAGGAGAACTCAAAAGGAGAAAACGTAGGAAACCCACTAAAATCACACCATCATCCGTCCTTCAGGTCAGTATTTTCTTTTTGGTGACGATGAGAAGAATTTTTCTGAAAATGGAAGCCAAAGGAAAAAAAGCAGAGGAAATTATTTTGTTTGATGAAGTTTTGACAAATGAGTTTGGTATTTGGCTTTGTGTCTTGTTGCTCACGTACATTGATCACGAGGAGAATTTGAAATTTGCTTCTCCAAACTTGGACTATGCGAGGAAGAGACTGCGTAGATTGATGTCATCATGATTATTGAAATGCCTACAAATACTCTTTTTCCCATGGAAGTTAAATGAGCCTTTACAAAGATGTTACCAAAGAAAACGAGAACCATTGGCTAAAGTAGATGATGGATCATAAAAAAAAAACAGAACAAAGAGTGTGAATTGGTTAAGGAAAATGCATTCTTATAGTTGTTTTCAGTCAGATCATATTCTCTACATTCGAGAACAGCTTTGTGACTATGGTAACATTGATTCTTTCTAGTAACACTTTGAGGACATGATCATGATGGTGCCATTTTTATCATTCATCTCAGCTTCACACACAACCCTTGGTATCGGTTGCTTTCCAAAGGATTCTTCTTGGAAGCCTATGGACTCTACATTCGTTCATAAACAAGTTTCTCTGACTGCGGGAGAAACCAAGAACACATAAAACAATCATGACTTGAAATCAAGACAAATGTTACTTATTGTTGATGTACTGAGAAAATTATGAGTACCTTGATGAGCATATCAGTTGGAAGCCAAGCCGGTGCGGTGGGGATACCAACCCATCCAACCTAAAAACTCCAAATTTCACAATTCATTAGCTCTCTCTCTCTCTCTCTCTTTCTCTCTTGCTCATGCACCATAATACACAATTTCTGTGAAAACTTACAAGTGCATACTCTCCTGTCTCAAAGACACGAAGGTCCAAGACCTGCAAGATTTAGATACTGGTTGAGTACCCTTGAAATCTCTTTTGATGTTTTTCAAAAGAGATTTGATTCGGGTTATACCTCGCCGCGATCTTCGTAAATGTAATCAAGTCCTTTGTAGAAAGGAGGATGTCCAACTGATAAGTACTGTGATCACAACAAATAAAGAAAAAAGTTTCAGAAACAGATTTCAAAGTAGAAGCTTCAGAAACGGGAAAGATTTCGACTATACATTGATGCTGTTGAGATACTTCTCTTTGTCCACACGAACGATTTGACCCTTCTTCACTGTTTTCTCATCAACCACAAACAAAAATTCAAAAATCTGTTATTGGATTTAACATTTGAAACAGAATTGAGGGAACAGACTCGAGTAAACCGGTTTCTTGGGAAGAGTTTTAGGGGTTTTGGTTGCAGCTGGTGATGCTTCCCCTTCAGATTTGGCCTGCGTGCTCTGTTTCTCTTTCTCTACCTCTGCTTTGACTGTGAACTGAGGAAGAGATCGATGAGGAAATCTTCTAGAAAGAAGTGGTAATGAAGAGGAGATGGTAGAAAGAGAAGAAAGCTGAGACAGAGTCGCTGAGAAAGCCATTGGAGAGACCACCACGAAAATTTTCTGTGTTCTTGGAGTTTCGGGATAAGACCGCAATGGTCTCCAAGTCTCAACGGTCTAAAACAGGCATCACTGAACCAATCATTAGGTGCCACGTGAGTACAAACAAGTTTCCTCTTACTATACAACTAGGATTATTTATATAACAGATCATGTATTTCAACAAAATTATATCTGCAATTATATACATACAAGTGAAATCGTGTATGTCACATGGAAGATCGTATACAAATCTTTTTACGTGTACTTTTTTTAATTATATGTTACATTATAGAATCTAATTGATCTGGTAGTGAAGTTGGAACAATATAGGCAAAGTATTTTAATTTTAAAAATTGTTTAAATCATATTTACATTGATCTCCTTTTGTTTTAACTAACAAAAAAAAAAAAACAAGAGTCATGAGATATCAAAGCAAGAATAATGTAAATTACAGAAGGAAATTAAGAGAAAACTGAGAAAAGATTGAGCTCAATCATTAACCTTAGTCCCTAGACTCTAATTTGATCCTCTTGGAAGATGGAGTGTCGTCATCAAGAGAGGAAACATCATGAGACGACGATGATGAAGATGTTGATGAAGATGATGGAGATGAATCAATGTCGTTTTGTAGGATTCTCTTAGGACTAAGTTTTTTGGTTTTTCCTTCTCCAGCTTCACCACCTCTCATTATAAGTTCTTTTAACCGCTTCACATCTGCTAATTTCACCGGTTTTAGCAGGAAATCCTCTGCTCCTTCTATCATACATCTACAACAACAAAAAAGCGACAAAATCAGATTATGCTGAATGAATGTTTGGGATTCATAGATTCAGTTTTTGTTCTACATTGAGTCAATGACTTACTGTTCTATACGAGGTTGTATGTTCTCAGACGACATTATCACTACTGGGATTTCTCTGAATGCTGAAGACTCCTGGTAAATAGATAACAGAGTTTCTGTACGTAAAGCACGAGAAAAGCTAATTCAAATCTTGCTCTAGTAAAATGACAGAAAGAGAAAGTTACTTTGATCTTCTTGAGGAGTTCATATCCTGTTAGTCCCGGCATTGAATAATCTGTCACTATCAAGTTCACTTTCAAATCCTGTTATAAAAATTGTTCATATAAACGGCATCAATAAACAAATAATAAATCCTCTTCTAAAAAGACAAGGTAAAAACTTTTGACCCTCATTGTCCAACCTTATAGATTTCTTGGGAGCCAAACCAGCAGAAGAACACTTAAAGGTTTCAATCTTTAGGGTTTGTTTTTGTCTGAAAAAGTGAATGAATAAATACCTTAAGACCAGAAGATCCATGGTCTCCATCTAAACCAAGATACTGAAGAGCCCTAGTCCCACTCTCAACAGTCGTCACTATATAAAAAAAAAACCCACAAAATCAGAAACCAAACAAAAGAAAAGCAGAAAACGTAGACAGCAACGGTTTTGCCTTTTACCTTTACAAGCAGAGATCTTAAGCAATCTCTCAATAACCTTACGATCAACGAAACTATCATCAACGGCGAGAACATGTAACTCAGGTGAAGAAGAAGAAGAAGAAGAAGAAGCAATCTCTCTGAGTGCCATTGTTTTCTCTTGGGAACGGAAACAACAAAACAGATAAAGAAGCGTTATAAGATTAAACGTCAAAGGACGCAGAAATCAACGTGAGGAGGGAAGACGAGGAGTTACATAAATAAAGGAGAGAGAGAGAGTAGCGGTGACTTACATAAATAAATAGGGAAGAGAAAGGAGGAGATTTATTAAATACAGAGAGAATCTGGAGGATCGGATCTTGATGTTGTTAAGATCTTGAGAGGGCCGGAAGAGAATCTAAAGCGATGAGTGATGTGTTTATGTCTTGTCAGATAACGTAATATTGCGTCTTCACGGTCATAATCTTTTTAGGGACCCAATTTCTTGATTTTACGATCCTTTTGTCTGCTCTTTCTTTCCTTCTGACAATGACTACTCTCCTCTCTTTTTATTTTCGTATTCAGTAAATTACAGGTGATGTCTATTAATTACTTTCACTTGGTTTTACCTTTTAAAAGAAAAAAATAAAATTTTCAATTCATTTATGTTGAAAAAAGAGTACATATATTTGTACTTTGTAGATTCACAAAATCTTTATAGAACTTACAAAATCTCCATGATGTGTATTGATTGAAAATTGGAGTGAAACATGATTTTTCTTCTTCAAAACTTTAAAATATATTTATTTTTGTAACTCAAATACTTTCATTACTCTAAATGGAGTTTGGTGGACACCATTACAAAAACAAACAAATCCATTCTTCTAGAACATTAGAAGAGATAATGGTATAGAGTTTGATTAGTAACACAAAAGTTTTAGCGGATAGAAGGAGTGGTTAGTGATATGTAAATAACTAAAAGTGGTACAGAGTAACGTATAAAAAGAACGGTATGTTTTATAGTTAGCTACAAAGGAAACACTACACTTGTACCCCAGTGGTACACCAATCACAACCAATATGTTTTAGAACGAAAGGCTTGGTTAGCAATCTAATCCGCTATTTGGTTTGTTTGACATGATCAGAAAGAAAGTTTGAATCGTCGAATTTGTCTTGGAACTTTACAACGTCTTGTGAGACCATTTCCAAAGAATGCCCAATTAGACCCATAACCAAGTCTTTACCATCTGAAAGAAAGGCCACGTTCGATAAAACGGTTTAAAAAAAATTATTTAGCGGTAAAAAATTGTGATACAAATTACTCTAGAATGTCACTTCAAAGACTCTTTCAAAATTAAAAAAAAAATGAACCAATCGATGAAACGTCTTTTAAGCAAATCGCTATGTACATCGGCCGCCGGAGCCAATCTAAAACCACCGCCGGCAGATCCCGCCGCCATAGCTAAGCTCATCCTCTCTTTTCACCAAACCCTAGACGATCAATTTATTCTCTCCACCAAAACAACCCCATGGACCCCAAATCTCGTCAACTCTGTTCTCAAGCGCCTCTGGAATCACGGTCCAAAAGCCCTCCAATTCTTCCACTTCCTCGACAATCACCACCGCGAATATGTCCACGACGCTTCCTCCTTCGACCTCGCAATCGACATTGCCGCCCGTCTTCACATCCACCCCACCGTCTGGTCCCTCATTCACCGTATGCGCTCTCTCCGCATCGGTCCTTCTCCCAAGACCTTCGCAATCGTCGCCGAGAGGTACGCTTCCTCCGGGAAACCCGATAAAGCGGTAAAGCTGTTTCTGAATATGCACGAACATGGTTGTTTTCAGGATTTGGCTTCTTTCAATACGATTCTCGATGTGTTGTGTAAATCTAAACGCGTTGAGAAAGCTTATGAGTTGTTTAGGGCTCTTAGGGGGAGATTTAGTGCTGATACAGTTACTTACAATGTGATTGTTAATGGTTGGTGTTTGATCAAACGGACGCCTAAGGCTTTGGAGGTTTTGAAAGAGATGGTTGATAGAGGGATAAACCCTAATTTGACTACTTATAACACAATGCTCCAAGGTTTTTTCAGAGCTGGGCAGATTAGACAGGCTTGGGAATTCTTCTTGGAGATGAAGAAACGGAATTGTGAAATTGATGTTGTTACTTATACTACTGTGGTTCACGGGTTTGGTGTTGCGGGGGAGATAAAGCGGACGAGGAATGTTTTCGATGAGATGATTAGAGAAGGTGTGCTTCCTTCTGTTGCGACATACAATGCTTTCATTCAAGTTTTGTGTAAGAAAGATAGCGTAGAAAATGCGGTTGTCATGTTTGAGGAAATGGTGAGGAAAGGTTATGAGCCGAATGTGACGACTTATAATGTGTTGATCAGAGGGTTGTTTCACGCTGGAAAGTTCAGTCGCGGAGAGGAGTTGATGCAGAGAATGGAAAATGAAGGCTGTGAACCAAACTTCCAGACATACAATATGATGATACGCTATTATTCGGAATGCAGCGAGGTTGAGAAAGCATTGGGTTTGTTTGAGAAGATGGGGACTGGTGATTGCTTGCCAAATCTAGATACTTATAACATACTGATTAGTGGAATGTTTGTGAGAAAAAGATCAGAAGATATGGTGGTCGCTGGTAAACTGTTGCTTGAGATGGTTGAGAGAGGGTTTATACCCCGGAAATTCACTTTTAATCGAGTTCTGAACGGGCTCCTTTTGACAGGGAATCAAGCTTTCGCAAAGGAAATCTTGAGATTGCAGAGTAAATCTGGTGGCAGGCTTCTCCGCAAGTTCAGGCTATGAAGTTCCTAATCTGCATTTGATAGGGGATAGACTCTTGCTATGTTTACATCAATGAATACCTGCCCCAAACATTGCATTGCAGTTAATGGAGACTGGACCAGGAAAGGCATTGATACATTGTTCAAAGAGCTTCATGGGATATAGCAAGAACAGTTTATTATCAATGCCAAACTACACAAGTGCTTTATTATTATGGGCAAAAATTCAGTGCCTTTTACAGTAGCTGTGATTGTGAGTATAGAAAATGGAATTGATACAAAGTTGGAAAATTCTTGGTGTAAATAAATGATACATGTGAATTAGTTCCCAAATATTTGCTTCTGTGATTCTCCAGTACATATTGAATTAGAGAGAGATGGTGTGGCTCCCCACCGGGTTGGTTCCATTTATCATGTTCCATTTTTCAATTACAAAATGATCTCATCTTGAACACTGACGTTCAGTGTCTTGTTTGGAAGAACAATACAGCTGGTAACCACAACCTCGTCTTCAACTGCAACCGAGTCTCCTGAAACCATTATGTTTGAGGTTAGTTATCTGTCTATAAGGAGATTTTGCTGTCTGTCTGTAAAGAGAAGGAGCTACAATGGAGGGACAGTTTACCGAGAATTGTAACTCCGAGTTTGGAATTGTAAACTCCCTCAGCCTGTGATCAACAAAGTACAACTTCAGGTTCACGATTATAAAGGAATCAAAAAGAAACATTTCAAGGTCCAAAAAAAATGAGCAGAAGAGGGAAACATGCCTGGACACGGGACCATCTCCCGATAGAAGATTTCCACCCAACAATTGCGTTAGTCACCACTGCATTTTCCTATGCAAACAGTCACTGAAGGGTCACCTCGAGAAAATTTTACCCATTTTTCACTTGGTGTCTTTTATAAGTACTAAGTAGACATACCATGATCTCAACGTCGTCAAGGATGATACAGCTGATAAGCCTGACGCCCGGTCCAACACGAGCATTTGCAGAGATTGAGACGTTGGGACCAATCTGTTAATAGATGAAACTTAATGCTTTTGGATAAAAGTGGAATCAGAAGAAGTTGCTTCAACGAGGGACAAAACCAGATGTAAGTACCTTTGCAGTTGGATGTACTTTTGCAGAAGGATGTATGTAAACATCACCAATCACAATGGCACTCCTTGTTCCATCACCACTAGCCAAAAGTTGGGGAGCGGTCAAGCGGAATTGGGAAAGATAGAGTCCTGAACACCTCAAAGACATTCTGCACAAAATTCAACCCATAAGTCAGAGCCATAAACACTTTCCCTGTTTCAGCTGATTCTAAACATTTTGTATCCTTGCGGCTTAAAAGAAATGAAAACACAAGGCAAGGCATACATACCCAGGAGATTTGATTTGCTCCCAGAAATCCATAGTCTCATAAGTATATAGCTGTTTCTTCCCAGCTAGAGGTGAAAGGATGTCTTGATCCAGTCTTACAAAATCTGTCGGGATCCTATTTTAAAGAAGTTAAAACTTATCATTTAAAGAAGAAGATGATTCAAAAGATTTTTCAGTTTATGGGCAAAGAGGCAATCAACAAACCTTGTTGCCGGTTGAAGAGCTTCGAAGCTGGAAACACGTTTTAGAGTTGCTACAACAAACAAAAAAACAGAGAAAATATATGAGAAGAGTCTTTAAAGATGGAAGCTAAGACAAGAGAACACACATTGTGTTGTACGATCTATGTACTGCTTTACCTCTATCTTTCCTCTGAGTGGAAACATCTCCTATGGCATTAAAAATTTCAGGTGTAAATACATAAACACCACAGTTAATACGATCACTGACCTGTGTTTCCAAGATAAAACATAAGAATCAAAGCTTGAAGATCTATGAAGATTGAGTTATCTCAATGATATATGTACATACAAAAGTTTCGGGTTTCTCGGTGTAATGAAGCAGCTCATTAGTAGCTGGATCTGCTACCAATTCTCCAAATTGGCTGGCTGATTCAGGAGAGACCTAAAAACCAAAGCAAATTTGATAAACCCGACAAAAAACAAAAACCAGACTAATCATATGCAATCGCAAACCTTGATCACAAGAAGAGTTCCAATTCCACCATATCCCCTGTGAGCCTCTGTTGATTAGAAGTAGCAAGAGTAAGAAAGACCTTCAAAACCATAAGATGAGTACACACAAGTTTGGGACTAGAAAAAGAACATACCGAGCATTTCGGGCAAGGGGAAACTGCAGCAAACATCACAGTTAAGCAGGAAGATATGAGACTGCAAGAAAGTAGATACAAGAACTCAAATGTGAGAAGAAACAGTTAAGTAGAAGCATGATTCAATATAGTAAGATCCTTGGAGACAAACCGGGCTATCTTCCATAATAAGATTTCTAAAGTGATACAGCCCACCAGCTGAACCATGTGGTTTGTCTTCTCGCAGATATCTAATTTGCGGAATCAGAGCACAAAGATGAGAGCTACATGAATGAGCCACAAATACTTGAGCTGATGCTTATGCAAAAAGAGGAGAGATTCATCACTAACCTAACAGGAACTTTGAGTTCATTAGAGATGGCTGAGACATAAAGTGCAAATTCCCTTTCCTCATAGAAGCCAACAAGATATATTTGTGCTAAATTTGGAATCTGCAGACAAAGAAGATTGGTATCATCATCTCATTCTCTCCATTGATCTGAATTGTTGAAATGATGAGTGAAGAAAATTACTCTTTTACAAGCTGAAATAGGATGATGCACCATTGGTTGTCCCGCAATAGGAAACAGAGGCTTTGGAATATTCAGCGACAATGGCCGAAATCGAGTACCTGTGGATCACTCAATAAACAATATTTAAACAGAATCAGAAACCATAATCATTCGGACACACGAAACTAAGAACCAAACAACATAAAAACGCATTGGATGTCGCCAAACACAATCCAAATCATATTCAGATCAATCGAGATTTCAATGTCATTTTCTGTTGAGGAGGAATCAGAAAAGAAAAACAAAAGCAAACATTTTTAAGCGGTTACCTTTGGTTGGACCACCGACCATGATCACAGCCACCACTTTCTCCTCCATTGAGCTCCCCATTTTGAAAGCGCAGATTTTTAACAGACCCACAAAACTTGGACAGAAATTTCCAAACTTGCAGAAAAATGGGAACAGCAGTATCACAATTCAGACAAAAAGATTAGAGTTTTTACAGGAAGATCTCGTCGGAGAATTTGGAAAAGAGAAAAAAGGTGAAGTTTTTGAGAAGATCTAATCGAAACTGTGACTGGTATAAGTTGTGGTTATCGAGATCTAAGAAGCTGTATCGTTGCGGTGATGGGGTCCTCCAAGTCACACTCACCATTCACCACACTCCTTTAAGGATAAGCGCGAGACCTCTCTCGTCTTTACCTCTTTTCCAGATTTGGTTGCCAAACATTTTTTTACTATTTAAAAATGGAAAAAAATCCACAAGTCTTCAGATCTCTCATTAAATGTTTATTTCAAGCAAATTATAGTAAAAAATTATCCGATTTGGAATTTGATTGCCATGTGAGTTTTAACTTTGATGTGACTTGAAGGTGACATAAAATGGTGCATGTTCTTGATATTGCTGCACCAGAGCCTAAAATGGTGCCTCAATACTGGCCTTTCTTTAAAACCAAAAAAAAAAAAAAAAATACTGGCCTTTCTAGAACAACCAATATCACCAAAGCATCTTTTATTCATTTTCTTTTCCTAAACTCGAAAAGGTTTTACAATAGGAGTTTCAGGACCAAACTAGACATACTGTCAATAAAAGCACAAAGATGGAACAGACAACATTTGGTTTGGTTTCCATTTTCATTACTTAGTTGGGGGATTTGTACCATCCCCATGGATCGTTTGAAGTGTAGAGAGTCACTTGCTTCACACTCAAGTAGTTATCAAGTCCCCTGAAGCACCCATAACCAAGATTTGTTCAGTAAAAAGCCATCAAGGTTGAGTCTTTTAAAAACAAGATTCGAAACAGAAAAAGAGATGTACCATTCTCCAAGTTCTCGTCCAAACCCACTGCGTTTTACACCACCCCATGGGGCTTGGGTAAAGCAAGGCTGCGAGCAGTTAATCCAGACAATCCCAGCTTCAAAGGCCTAACAAAGTAGAACCAATTATTTGTGTTATTAGATGGTATTGTTATTTCACTTGCTAGGCATTAAAAAAATCTGAAGGGTTCAAGAAACCGGTACTAACCTCGCTTACACGGTCACATCTTTCTGTGTCATTAGATATCACTGCAGCTCCTAGTCCGTAACTGTCATTTATCAATGAATGTTTTCAGCCACATAAGATCTTAAATGATAAATTTGATTAAAACACCTGCGGCAATGGATGGGCTTTGATAAGATTTCCCTTTCTGGAGAAACGTTATCTTACTGGGAGTCATTTGCTAGCTCAATTGCCTTGTCCTCACTGGCAAATGTTTTCACGCAAAGAACAGGCCCAAAAACTTCTTCTCTCCAGATTTTCATTGAAGTGGTTACATCAGTTATGATGGTTGGTTCAATGAAGAAGCCCTTTTCAAGATGCTGTGAGATATAGATATGATATAAAGGTCATCATCATAGCCTGGAAGAAACTGTATCAAGGATAGGTAAGAGAGGGGGGTACAATACCTCAGGTCGAGAACCACCATGCAAGATCGTTGCTCCTTCACTCTTAGCTGCTGAGATAAACTTCAATATCTTCTCGTACTGTAATTTTTTCGTTTGTCAGCTCATTCAGATTATATGATTATAGAATTTGGAGCACATCTACTAAGTAAAAACATGACAAGCCTGATGAAGCATCATATGCAAGATGTCATTTGACTGATTCTCTACAGGTTGAGCGATTCAGACTTACAGGGACAAAAGTTAATCACTGTACTACAGAACTCAATCTATGAAAGATTCCAACTTATTTTAAGACTCTCAACAATTATCTTTTCCTTTTTGTCCTGGTTCTGGTAATGCATATAGGTTTAGCAACCCGATGGAAAAATGGTAAAAGGATAGGAAATCAGAAAAAAAAACGATCACTGGGCTTTTACCTGTCCTTGGCTCACGACAGGACCAAGCCTACATCCTTCTTCCATGGGGTCTGAAATTTTAATGTTCTTACTCCACTTTACAAGCTTTTCTATAAATTCAGATGCGATGCTTTCCTAAGATAGAAAATATAAAATGTCATAGACACATTCAACATAATTTGACTAAGGTCAGCAATTCTATCCAGCAGTGACTTATCCCTGTTGGCATATCCACCCGGAAGTTTTGATCTCAGATAAATTTCATTGTCATTGACCTTCATGGAAACATCTTACAAAATAACTTGGAACTTTCACTTCTCCAGTGATAAATATTACCGCATGTAGTATTGCGAAGTTCAGGTTCCATCTTAAAGCAAGCTGAAGCTTGGCACTTACATGAACAAGAAGACGGGAAGTTGCACTGCAGATCTGACCATTTGTCCAGAAGCAACCGAAGAGAGCCCATTCAGCAGCTATTATTCAACGGCATCAAAAACACAAATAGTTCAATTTTAAGATTAAGACCATATTTATGTCATGTCTACTCATCTGAAAGCAACAAATGCAACAAATGCCTTAGTACTACCTTGAATATTTATATAGCACAAGAAAAGTTATCTAAAGAAAATTCCAAATCCACTACATTACTTTTTGTGATATTCACCTTTATCAAGATCAACGTCATCAAACACAATGAGAGGGCTCTTCCCACCAAGTTCCATAGAAACAGGCTGCAACAATGCCACGAGTGATGTGTCATTGACGAAACAAAAAAGAAGACAAGAAATTTCTACAATTTTCAGAAATTTGAATTACCTTCACCAACTGAGCAGCAGCTGTCATGACCTTACTTCCTGTGGCAAAACTTCCAGTAAATGCAATCTGCCAAAAAACCATAACTTTTCCTTTTAGCTTCTAAGAACCACAAACGTTACACTGAAGTGATGCTGTAATCAGTAGCCTGTTTAGTCAATTGGGTTGGGACTTGTGTTTAATGTATGTCTCAAAGACCAATACCTTGTCCACTCCGGGGTGTGATGCCAAAGAAGCACCAGCTTCCGAACCTAAACCAGTCAAAACATTGAGGACCCCAGGAGGAAGACCAACTTCTCGACAAATATCAGCAAGCTCCAAACAAGTACTGAAATTAAAACCATGACAAGTGTGAGAGCTCAAAGGACCACTGCAGAAGCATAAGAGCAAAACAGATTATACACAATTACGTACACTGATGCCAGCTCTGATGGCTTGAGAACCGCAGTGCACCCTGCAGCAAGTGAAGGAGCCACCTTCCAAACAGCCATCAAAAGGGGGTAATTCCTTCAACATCAAACCAGGTCCGAGAGTCAGTTTCTGCTCAGATGGGCTTTACAAACACGACAATAGGTGTGATGAACATTCGAACAAGTTAACCTCAAAAAGGAAACTACTAGTAGTTACCATGGTGTAATAAGTCCCACAACTCCAAGAGGTTGCTTCAGAACATAACTCTTAAAACTGTCCATGGGAAGCGAGACTGGTGCTTTCTGCTTAGCATCTAACCCTTCAGCAAGGTCAGCATAAAATTCAAAACATCCAGCAACATCATCCTGTAAAAGATCAAACAAACACATTCAAGACCAAACCTACATAGAAAAACCTACATTTTACAAAAACAAAATAGAAGCAACAGTACCATATCCCACACTGCTTCATCCAATGGTTTACCACAATCAAGCGCCTCGAGCTTTGCCAGATCCGTCTTTCTTTCATTTACCTACACACATAAGATACAGAAGACTAAAACTGATTACACAAAAGTCCAGAAAAAAACTGAGGCTTGAAGATATCTTAACATAAAATCACAATCACAAAGATCAAATGACTTACCTTAGCAGCAATAGCACGTAAAAACTTAGCACGAACAGCTCCAGGTGCTTTGGCCCAATCTTTCCCTTTATTCCTTGAAAATGCTCTTCGAGCAGCGTTGACTGCAGCCTCCACGTCCTCCGTTGTAGCTGCAGGAATATCACCTACCTCATCCAACACATACAAATCCTTGGATCAACAACTTCAACGAAAATTCATGGAAAGAAAGAAGTCGATAAGAGCAAGCAATATCTCCACATCGAACTAAGAAGTAAAAAAAAGTAAAAATTTTTACTTGGAAGATTGTGGATCTAAACGAGCTTACCAATGAGCTCTTCAGTAGCCGGATTCACGATCGGGATTCGCTTCTTCAAGATGGGTTCTCTCCATTCGCCGTCGATGAATAGCTGGCGAGTAGGCACCGGAATCGCCATTGTTTTTATCTGAATCTAGAGCTCCGGAGATGGAGTTGCTGCTGCTCACTGGATCGTGGATTCGTGGTGCACGCACTTCAAGCTTTCACTTCAACCTTTTTTAATTTTTTTTTTCTGGTGACACCAACCTTGGGTCGATCAAAGCTCACGAGATCAACCTTTTTTAATTAAAACTCTTTTTAAAGTATAGTCATTTTGAGTAAAACGTTTTGTTTAAAACAAACAAAACTAAAACTAAATCTTTGATTCTCTTAGAAACATTCTACATAACTATGTTTTTTTTTTTTTCCTAAACATGTATGTTCTTATAAGTGAGTTTGAAAAACATATTTTGAAATATCAAATCCAACAAATTTTACAAAATTTGTAAAAGATAAACATATATTGGTTAACTCGTGTAATAAACGGGTTCGTTCTAATCCAGTAATTAGATAAGAGGTGTTTTTAGTTCCAAAAAGTAAAATAGAAATCAAATTATCATTATCAACAAACAATATGTATAATTTTTTTATGAAATTAGACAAAAAAAAAAAAACTAAAAACCATACGCAAGGTTAATTAGAAAAGGATTAGAGATCTTTAAACGTCACTATTTTGATTTTTTTGCAGGATAAGAGGTGACTCAAAATTGGAAAAGGAAATAAACATATATTTTCCAACGCTGAATTTCAGAGTTAGAATAGTCTCTTTTTTCCTCATCACTACTCAAATAACTCATCGACTTATTATATTCCTCAACATTTCTTCTTCGATTATCTTTGTGATCTTTCCATCGATAATGGCGACCACAACAACAAGAATCTTCTCCTTCGTGCTCATGATGATGAGCTTCACCGTTCTAATGGGATGTTGTTCCTCAGCGAAAACCTACAAAGTTGGAGACTCTGAAGGCTGGAAGCCGAAGGCCGACACCTATCACGATTGGCTCAAGGATAAGGAATTCCACGTTGGTGATTCACTCATTTTCGAATAGGACCGCAAACGTCGCTCAAGTCTCCGGCGCTTTGGAATACCAATATTGCGACTCTACTTCTCCGAAAGCCGTCTACAACACAGGGAATGATGTCGTGACTCTTAAGGAACCAGGTTATCACTATTTCATCACCTCAAATCATATTCAATGCGTATACGGACAGAGACTCAACGTTCTTGTCGTCCATGATCCATCACGTCTGATTCCTCCACCACCACCAAGGAAGATCCTTCCTTTTGGAAACATCTACAAGGTTGGTGATTCCAATGAATGGAGGGTTCCTGAAGTGGCTGACTTCTATTACAAGTGGAGCGAGGGAAAACAATTTCATGTGGGAGATAGTCTTCTTTTCTACTATGACTACGAAGTCGACGACGTCTTAGAAATCAGCGGTGATCTTAAGTTCAAAGCTTGCGACCCGACTTCTCCTGTTTCCGTGCACAATCAAGGACAAGATCTCATTAGGCTCACAAAACCAGGAATCCACTATTTCATAAGCTCAAAGACTGTTAATTGTGAGGCTGGGCTTAAGCTTCGAGTCGTTGTGCAACCACTACCCAAAGTTGTTCCTGAGAAGATGAACATGTCACCTTTGGATCGCCTAATCAAGTGGTTACAGAACTTCAGACCACAGCCCCATCACTAAGCAGCATTCGTTTCTTTTTGGTTTTTGGATTAGCTAATTTGATAATGCGTCCTCCTTCACGTTTTCGTTTTGGTGTTTTTTTTTATTTTTATGTTTATGTTTTTCCTTTTCCTATATAATATGATGGTTTTTTTCTTTATTATATCTTGTTTACTATGGCTTTTCAAGTTTGGATCAAAATTCGGCTCTCACTAAATTCGAAACTAAAAAATATGTATACAACAAATTGAACAAACTAGACACAATAGCTCCACTGGAACAAGGTTGTTATTGTTGACCGGCTCTGTAATAATTTCCTACGACAACTTTGAAGGAAAGTGTAAGACACTTTCAAGTTGTTGATTCCGTCCATTCTTGGATCAGTCTCTAACTCAGGATCAATGTAGAAGAAGACCTGCAAAACCAAGTGATTAAAGGTTTTAATGGACTCTTGATTTTATTTGAGGAAAATATCAAACAGACCAGGATCAAAAGAGTAGTCACCGGCATGTCAATTTGCTCTCCGGGAAGGAGTCACTGCTCCTCAAAGCAAAAACATTGTATCTTGTTTCATATAAAGCATTCCCTTATTGGAACTACCACTTTTAAAATCATAGACTTATTTAGTTCATACTCCATCAATTATTGCCTTACTAGTCTTTGCTATATTACTTTGAACTAAAGATTGCATATTGTAGTTAACTAGTTAGTAATCAAAACAGATATAACAAAAACCTCATACAAAAGAAGTTATTAATAAAAGAGTTCTATAACAAAAGAAGTGAAGTTACATGATGTTTTTGGAAGAAAAGTCTTCCTCAGTTCTCCGTCCTCGATCTGTTACCCAACTAGTATATTACATGGAAAAATATGTACATATATTTTTCGAGTGGGTTATAACGTATATCCCAAAATTTCGAGTATTTGCCCCTTATCGATCTTAAGTAGTGGTTATCTCTAGCAAAGTATATAGAAAGTTAGTAGTGGCCTTCAATTCAATTATTGCTCCATCCTGAAAAGTGGCGCAAAAATAAGTTATTTTTTTCTTATTAGGAAAGCAAAATGCTTCAACAAAAAGAGATAGCTGCTGCTCCAAAGAGTGTTTTTTAAGTAAAAAAAAAAACTTCTTCCTTGGTTCCCCCTTTCTTCTTCTACGAGACTACGAATCTCGCGTTAGGATCAATAGACTCGATTTCTTCTTCAAAACAGTGAGTCTTATGCTTGCTTCTTCATGAACTCCTTGCACAATTGCAAATTTGCAATAACTCTGTTTGTCTCTGAATCAACCGATATATAGACTTCTTAGTTAGAAACCCGCATAAAAAAAACGTCATGAACAGAAATGAGCCTAGTAGACGATGATACAAACATTTATAATGCAACTTAAACAAACAATACATGTGTTTGTGAAAAAATAAAAAAAAATTATATGCGTGTCCGATTCAACGCTCAATAGTCTCTACAATACAAAAGAAGAAGAAGAAAGTGTCTTTAAATTCTAGAAACAGAAGTCGCGACGAAAATTTCAGTTTTTAAAAACAAACGTGCCTAAACATATCATTCAGATATAACGCAAAAAGACAAAAGAGAGGAAATTAAATCACGTGGAAAACAAGGAACACGACAAAGCAGAACAGTCTCACTATTCCCGCGTTACCCACTCCATACAATCCGCCACGTGTCCCTTCTTCACGCGCCAGTCAGCGCTGATCTTCTTCCTCACTTGTCACTTCCACTCTTCATATATAAATCCACACAGCCGCAAATTCGAAATCAACCAGATTATAACAGAATTAACTATACAACTGAAACTCGCGTTAAGAAATCTTGAACCGGAACAGAATCCAATTCAACCAAACCGAACCAAACCGGGTTTCTTTTCCAATGGTGAAGCAAGCGATCAAGGAAGAGGAGAAGACGAGAAACACGGCGATGCAGTCAAAGTACAAAGGAGTGAGGAAGAGGAAATGGGGAAAATGGGTATCGGAGATCAGACTTCCACATAGCAGAGAACGTATCTGGTTAGGCTCTTACGACACTCCCGAGAAGGCGGCGCGTGCTTTCGACGCCGCTCAATTTTGTCTCCGCGGCGGAGACGCTAATTTCAATTTCCCAGATAATCCACCGTCTATCTCCGGAGGAAGGTCGTTGACACCTCCGGAGATTCAGGAAGCGGCTGCTCGATTCGCCAACATAACCCAAGACAGTGTTGTTGTTGTCAAGGGAGAAGGAGAAGAAGAATCGGGTTTAGTACCCGGATCCGAGACCCGACCAGAGTCTCCTTCTACCTCTGCATCTGTAGCTACATCGACGGTGGATTATGATCTTTCGTTTTACGATTTGCTTCCGATGGATTTCGGGTTTGATGACTTCTCCGACGATCGATTTACAGAGATTTTACCCATCGAAGATTACGGAGGAGAGAGTCTATTAGATGAATCTTTGCTTCTTTGGGATTTTTGAATTCCCAAACAATTTTTTTTAATTTTTTAGCGAATTGAGGTTTTCCTTGGAGTCATGGAGTAACCTGGAGATTTTTGTAACACGGAGCTCCAATGACCCGGGAACTTCTTTAGTTTCGGATCCGAATTTCTTCTGGATCATACCAATCATTCATTCCTATATTTTTTCAATTTTCTTTTGTTAGTAATAAATATATGTTTATGTCCCTTTCTAGTTCGATGTGAAATCCCGTAGAGTTTTGGGAGATTATATTATTCGGCCCAGAATCTTATAGTTGGGCCTTGAGCTATAATCATTTTGTTCAGCCCATTGTTTTAAATGAATTCTCATGTTAAGTACATGTTCCCTTTTAGCCTAATTAAATACAAGGGGTTTTCTTTAAATGAGATGAAATGATAAAATATCTTCCCAGCATTTGGATATTCTTGATGACAAATACAAAGATCAACATCAATAAGTCAAGAAAATAGGATTGGAAATCAAGGAAGAGAAACGGTCTTCAAAGAAAATAAAATTGAGTCGAGAAAAATATCAGAAAAAATATCATTAATCGAACAAAAAAAAATTGGGGTGGATAAGATTCCAATCATTTTCAAATTGCCACCTGATTTTCGGCTTAAATAAAAAAAAAAAACAATCACTTTCAAAAAAGTGAAACCACTATTTCATTTGAGACCAAAAAAAAAAAAAAAACCACTAGCTAACTATTAATAATCTAGGTGCTAATAAATAGTAGAAAACAATCCACATTTCAAGTATAGATGAATTGGTCTATTAATATAATATACAGTGAATTAAATATTACACAATTAAATTACATAAAACTTAAAAATAGTGTATTAGGTACATCACAGAATATTTTTCTTAGAGGAAGTCTTGGATTCCTAATAATATAAAACAAATATCAGAAAAAGACATTTGAATCTTGATGATAAACAATGGGTCCCTGCGGTCCTACCACACTCCAATGAATAATAAAAATAAAAAAAAGAATCATTACATAAAAAAATAAAAAATAAAAAATAAAATAATACCTGAGCCTGCTCATATCAATAATTGTGTATATATGATGTCGATAAAATTAACCAAACAAGATAAACAAATACAAAAACAATAATGGTGATAAAATAAATGGTGGGCCGTTCTATAAACTTCAATCATTAATCATAGCACACAAAATTCCAAACTTGAGAAATAAAATCAGTGGGCTAAACTCTAAAGTCTCTCTACCTCTCTCCATCTCCTTCTTCTTCTATCAGATTCTTTCCTCCTATAACCTTGCCTTCTTCCTTTGCTCTTTCTTTATTTTTCTCTAATTCTTTTTCAGTTTTTTCTTTCATAATCAAGAACAGTTTAATTCTTTCCTTTTTATTATCAAGAACAGTTTAATTCTTCTTCTTTTTATATCAAGAACAGTTTTTAATTCTTGTCTTCTTGATTATGATTCTAAGCAAGAGACCTCATCTAATGATCCGTAAACTGTCTGAGATGTTGGTTCCAAGAAGCAGATCTGCTGCCATTAAACCGGAGGAGTACACGGCGAGTCCGAGAAGTCCCTTGGATTTGAACTTCCCCTCACCGGTTAACTCGAAGCGGTTCGGTTCTGGTGGTGTCGGTTTGGGTATCGTTGCTGCGTTGGAGGAAACTAGCAACGGGATTAACCGGCACGATCCGGTTCGCTACTCCGGGAGGTTCCGGTGTCCCGAGATTGATCTGTCGGATGAGGAGGAATACACTTATGTCACGAGCCCAAACGGACCGACTAAAGTGTATTACAACGACGACGGGTTTAAATTGTGTGAAAATGATTATCGGAGAGTGCATAAACCGATGGTTATCGCCGATGAACCACCGGTTATTAAAAGACAGAGTTTTGGGGATCCGACTGAGTTTCTGAGTTCATGTTGCTTGTGTAAGAAGAAACTTCAAGGCAAAGACATATACATGTACAAGTAAGTTTCATCGCATTCCATTCATTATTAAAAGGAACGTGTTTCTTGGGTCTTTGTTAAATTCGAGACAAATTCATGATTTTACATCCCCAAATATTCAAATTTATTTGTGTGTTTTTTTTCTAGAAACTGATATATCTTTCTTGGATTGTGTGCAGAGGAGAGATGGGATTTTGTAGTGCTGAATGCAGATCAGTGCAAATAATGAATGACGAACGAAAAGAGCAATGTAAGACGCAAGTTTCAAGGAACGTCGACGTTTCGACCTCTCCTTGCGCCGCCGGACAGACGTTATCTGCCGGGATATTCGTATTTTAGGATCATCACAATTCACAATAATTCGAAGAGAAGTATATTTAAAAAAAAAAAAAAAGTGATCATCATTCCATTTTACCTTAATAGAAGAAAAAAAATTAGAAAAGAACAAAAAAAAGTGAAATTTTTGGTTAGGTTTAAAGCACATTGTATAGAAGTTTGCTTTTTGTTAACTTTTAATACCGAGTAATGTTTATGGCTTTTCCTCGGAATCACATAAACCAATAAAAATGCTATAAATAATTTTGTGGAACAAGTATGTATATATGCCATTGCCAACTTCTCAATTCATGTATGATGTATCCAAAATATTGAATCAAATGAAAATGTAAGATTGCGCATGACACACATGTCTATAACTTTGTGGCTAGACAATTGATTGAATGTTTTTTATACACTCTTTGGTCAAAAATACAAATTCCCATGGGTTTGCTTCTGGGTTATATTAAAGAAAACGTTACCAATCAAGATAATTATAGAGGTTTCAAAATTACAACTACGTTTAAAAATGTAATGTGTTGCTATTACGCGGTTCGGTTTCAATTCATGATTACAACTCAAATTATCTTTGAAAAAATATTAGAGAACGCGTACTATGATTTACTGAAGAAACTTTTTTTTTTTTGTCATCTGAATTTTATTAAAAACTCAGTTGAAATACAAACGCCGGTCGACTAACGAAATGTCCCTAAAAATTAAAATAACGTTAAAAATAGGAAAATCATTTATTGAAGAAACTAAAATAACGTTAAAAATAAATAAAAAATAACGTTTTAATAAATTTAAGACTTGAAAGAAACACAATTATGAGTCTTAAGTGCAATGTATGCAAAAAAAAAAAAAAAAAAAAAAAATGCAATGCATGCACGTGGGCCCTTAAATATGCAACTTGTTGTATTCGGGCCCGTTGTCAGAAATTAATAAAAGATCTTTCTCTCAACTAAGAAAACAATGATATTTTGGTAAAACCTATAGTCCCTACCATTTTGAACAACTTTGATTAGATGAAGTCCGGGACCGAATGTGTCCGATCCAAATTACGTAGTCTTGGAGATTTGTTTATAATGCTGAAAAAATCAGATTTTTCCAAATCGGATATAATTGGATCTTAGGTTCTTTGAGCTAGTCATAAGTCATAACAAATTTCGGACCAGTCTTTGGACCGAATTTACGTTTTGTTAGTTGGATCATTGTTCAAGACCGAACAAAAAAAGCTATAGTGGGTCAGAATTCTCGTGGCCTACCAAGCCTGGTCTGATCGAATCCACTACCTTACTGGATATTTTATGAAGTTTATTTTGTATGGACTTGGGACATTTTATGAAGTTAGAACTAGTTTTTTGAAAAAATCGTAATTGGCTTGTATTTTTTTTCAATCAAAATACTTTAGTTTGTTCAAACATTTTAATCTACGAAACTTAATTGCTAATACTAATAGATGAATGATTTATCATTAATCCAAACTTAAACCCCAGAAGCAAACATTGAACGCTTTAATATTTAATGGCCATCAACACAAAAACACAAGTGATGTTTCTTACAAAAGTTGCAAGCAAATGTTGAGATCAGCAGAGGAAAGGGTTATACACTATGGCTTAAACTTAAAACCCCAGAAGCAAACATTGAACGCTGTAAAATATTACTTTGATACAAATATAATGAGTTTTCCGGGAGTTAAACAAACAAAACTACTAGGGGTGAAATTAATCTATAGAAAAAATGAACAGAGGAGCAGCTTCTTACGAGAAGGTCTCTCAAGTTGTGCCTTCTGGGTCGGACATGCTCGAAGTTTACCGCGAACTGAGCCAAGCTGGGTTAGGCTTTGAAGACGCTTCAGCTGAACCGTCTATTTGGTATGGTGCCTTTGATGTGATCCTGTTAAAGGTTACATATAGGATATTGAGAATTTCTCTTAACAACGAATTATGGAATAACAAGATAAGACGTGTTCACAAGAATTGCTTACCTATCCTTCCTCTTCTCTAGGAATCGATGAAGCGAAGCTCTTCTGGCAATCGGGAGTTCTGCAAATCAAAAAAGAGAGCAAGTTAGAGAAATATGACTAATAAGCCAAGCTCAGAGATGGTTGAACCAAACAAAAGAGGCTGAGATCAATTACCGCAGGCTAAAGAGGCCGGGTTGGGCTGGATTGACTCTTGTGCTGCGGTTTTCGCAGGACTATATACTGGATTCGGGCTAGAAGCAATCTCTTTTTGAGTCTTGGCCAAGTGTTGAGAATAAGCACTCTGGCTATTGTTCACTTCAGCTGTGAAACCTTTGGAACTTCCTTTGTTAGCCAAATCAATAACTTGTTTGGCTTTCTCAGCAGAAAAATCATCAAAGACCATAACTCGACCAGCGTAGAATATGGTCAACGGAGCAGATTGAGACTCTGGCTTCACAGATCTGTTCAAAATCACACAAAAATGAGTCAAACTGATGAAACATAGCCTTAGTATATCAGACGATTCTTTTCACTATATACATATAAACACATACTTAGTCTCTTTGATCATGTGGACATCTTCTTTGGCCCCAGAGGAGCAAGAAGAAGAAGAAAAGCTTGATTGTCTGGGAAACACATTCTTCGGTTTAATGTCTTGAGCAGCAGAAGAATCCATTCCTGAAGCTTCACAAGGGAACAGATTCATCATTGTAGGCTGACGTGAAACAGCAACACCTCCTGCAAAAGGGATCCAAAAGTAAAAGATTATAATTCTCCAATCTATCAAACAACTTCAAAACAAAATCAATAATAGTTTCTACTTCAAGACTAAAGTAGGCTTCAGAGGATTATGTTTAAAACCAAACACAGAAGCAACTCCACATATTCATACACAAAACGTATATAGAAATTGATTCCAAATATTTCGCTCTTCATCGAATTCTCATCTACGATTCAATTTCCAGGCAACAAGTAATCGATTCTTAATTCGTAATTCGGAAAAAGAAAATAAAAAAATTTCCAGAATCGAAAGAGAACAGATCTAAAGGTTGCTTACCATTGAGGTCAGGCTTGCATGTCATCCCTAAGGTCAGATCTCCAAAACTACCCTTCTCCTTCAGATAACGACTTAATCGACTACATGTCTGTGAAAAGCTCGGCTTCCGAACAGACAAGTCCCAAAACTCGGCAGAACTCGACATCGAAATTGAAAATCGAAGCAAAAGAATCTTCCTTCCTGAGTTGTTTAATTTTCTCGGAATCTTTATAAAAAACTGCCAAGTGCGTTTGTCACGAGGAAGAAATGGGGGTCCTCTTTATTACTTTTTTTTCGATGGTTGCAGATATCAAAAATAGTAAATTATACTACTAGGCTATAGTATTCATAAAATAGAGACATTTAAAACACGTGTTTTAATGTAATGTTTTAACGGCATACCAGTGTTTCAGATCACCACCGTCACCCACGTCCAATCCACGCTTCAGACTTGAAATCACCATTTCACCCTCTTTACTCCTCTGTTTTACCATTTTACCCTTATAAGAAGGAAACATAAAATATTTAATAACATATCTCCATGTAAACATAAAAATCCTAAAATTAATTCATTCAAACAAATTAGTGTTCAAATGTGTCTTTCAATTAGTTGGGTTCTATATCGTTTTTTTTTTTTTTAAGATGAATCTCTTAGCATTACTTGTAATTAGTTTATGTAAATGTTTTAGCACTATTAATTAGTCTACTATTTTAATCTCATAGAACGACGTGATATTTTAGCACTAAAAGGATTAACGGCGTGATTTACGGAAAGGAAACGATTAACGGCGTTAGATAGAGGGAACACGGTGTGGATCTTACATACTGTTGTAAGTTGTAACTAAAGCTCCACCAATGCAATTTGATCCACGTTTTGTATTTTCCTTTTTATTGAATTTTTAGTATTTTATTTATGACAGTAATAAAATAATTACAAGAAGCGGGAAGAGCACGTCTCCTCTACAAATCGTGACCTTACACGTGTCGAACTTAACTGCACACATTTGAGAGAATTTTTCTTGTTGGTGTCGCACAATGGCGAGTGATCCCCTGTTACGCGGCTTATAAAGCAACTGTGTTCTCCTACGGACTATAGCCGTTGATCCTATTCTGTCTTTTTATACTGTACTACTCCCTCTATTCTTAGTTATTTGATGTTTTGGGTTTTTTACTTGTTCCACCAAGATTGATGTTTTTACAAAACATTAATATTATTTTTGTTTGTGACCAATAGTAAAAGAAGGAAAGTAAAACTAATATTATTAAACTAACAAAATAATAATTAAAAATATAAAAATTACTTTTTCTTAATTTGTGTGTAAAACTAAAACATCATTGTTTTAAGAACAGAGGGAGTATTTTTTAATTTTACCATGCGTATGTTAGGAGTAGGAGGTACAAACAAATAAAGATTTCATATTATAAGTTGTTTTAGCTTTAACCCCGCAGATTAAGAAGATTTACTTTTAAAAAGTTAAACCAATCATAAAAGAAACGGTATAATACAAATAATTATAAAATATTAAAGTAATATATAATTTGCATAGAAATTTGAAAACGACTTATATTGTGAAATAAATTTTTTTCTCTAAAACGACTTATATTATAAAACGGAGGGAGTATGATTTTCTTTTTTAACGTCTAACTTATTATATTGACTTAGAAGATTGTATTTGCTAACTCATTATACACCTTAGAGCATTCTCATCGATAAAAATCTAAAAATGGATATCTGATGAAAAAATTATATTATTTTTATTTTGATTTTATTATTTAAATAAATTTTACATAATTAATTAAATTTGACCAATAAAATTAATACATCTGACAAAATGAAGTTGTCACGGTATCTCAGAGTTTCTATGGAGAGAAACGTTTTTCTCTCTCACTCCTTTTTTTCTATTTTTTTATTACTTTAATGATGAGAAACTATGAATACATCGAGATAACGTAAGGTTCATAGGGTGGCTCGTGAGAAATAAGTAAATATATGGATGGTTTTATAAATCACAAAGAGATCCAAGAAAAAAAAAACAAAATCCGAAGTGCATGTATAACAGGGGTCACAAGAAGAACCAAGAGCGCATAAAGACGTCAAAGTATTGATATTATTTACTCCCTCTGTTCCTTAAAGATTGATGTTCTAGAGTTTTCACATATATTAAGAAACAATCATTGTTTAATTATTTGTCAATTACTTTTTTATATTAAACATTTTTTAATAACTTTAAACCAATAGTATTAGAAAATAGTTAATCATTACGTCTTGAAGTTTACGATATATTAATTTTAATCAATTAAAAATAAAACAAAAATCTAAAAAATCAAACTTTATGGAACAAATTAATACTCTAGAACATCAA